ATCCTTGAAATACTGTACAATAGCAAGTATTACCATGAGAAGTATCCGAGATTTACAAACAAGCCAACGCCAAAGACAATTACAGAAGAGGAACCAGGCAAAAGATGGCAGATTGACATAATTAACATGAAAAATCAAAGTGTTAGCTACAAGGGGTCCACATACAGTTATATTCTACAAGTCGTGGACGTTTATTCTAGGTACGTTATGCCAAAACCCCTGAAAACGAAGAGTTCGCGTGAAGTTGCAAAGGCATTAGAGGACGTGTTGATGGTTAACCTTGCCCCTGACATCATCCAATGTGACAACGGACTGGAATTTAAAGGCCCTAGTATGAAACTTTTGTTGAACAAGTACAACATCAAAATGATCAATAGTAGGCCGTATCATCCTCAATCACAGGGCAAGTGTGAAAGGTCAAACAGTGTTATAAAGGCCAAGATTCTATTTGCAACAAAAAGTAAACGTGGATTTAACTGGGTCGAAGGGCTTCAAGATTTAGCCTATGCCATAAACACAAGTTTCAAACGAGTTCTTGGGGGTCTCACGCCCTTTGAAGCCTACTACGGAAGAAGTCATGTTTTTACCAAAGAACGTCATAGTTCTCGTGAAATAAAGAAAACCATACGGCGAGCAAATAAAAAGGCTTACAGGTCGCTGTTGAAAAACGCAACTTCCCCAAGCAAGTACAAAGTAGGAGAGACAGTATTAATTCGCTATCCCTTTCGAAAATCCAGGGTGCCAACCAAAAGATATGTTATCGAAGGCAAGGTAGAAAAAGTAAAACGAAATGGTGTTTATATCGTGTCATTTCAAGTACCGAACAAACCCGAACTTGGATTCGTAAGCAAATCGGTTGGGGTCGAAAACATGACTAGCCTAACTGTTGCGTTAGAGAAACAACGAAAAATTAAAAAACATTCATTAAAACAGAACCGCTCAGAGAAACAAAATCACAGAACTAAGTACTATCATGTTTTAACACACCATGAAAATCTGCAGTTGTTGGATGGGGTGAATATTGCCATGGACCCAAATCCGGATGGAAATTGTCAATTTGCTGCTATATCGCATCAACTTGGTAAAATTGGTATATACAAAGACGTAGATGCTTTACGTAAGGAAGCAGTCCATCACATTGTAGAAAACAGATATTTCTATGAAACTTTTGTCTATGATGAAACATTTGATGAATACGTTAAGAATATGTCTAAGAATGGGACATACGGCGACAACCTCACGCTCATTGCACTTATGAGAGAATATAATTTGCAGTGCCTGGTAGTTTCTACCCGAGGACTAGAACACTCATCAATTGTGTCAGCAGATGGAAAGTTCGATGGTGATGTTGGAACAATTGCATTGGGGTATTTCCCAGAAGGATTTGGCATGCATTACGTTAGTATCCGTATCAATCAACGCGTGTACAAGGACATAATATCACGCTTAGAACAGTCGTATGACAACGGTGACTCTGGCGACAGCACTGCGTCTGGCGACAGCGCTGCGTCTGGCGACAACGCTGCGTCTGGCGACAACGGTGACTCTGGCGCAACGGTGACTCCGGCGACACCGCTGCGTCTGGCGACAACACTGCATCTGGCGACAACGATGACTCTGGCGACAACGATGACTCTGGCGACAACGCTGCGTCTGGCGACAACGGTGACTCTTGCGACAACGGTGACTCCGGCGACAACGGTGACTCTGGCGACAACGGTGACTCCGGCGACCGGTGACTCCTGCGACAACGGTGACTCCGGCGACAACGGACTCTGGCGACAACGGTGACTCCGGCGACAACGGTGACTCCGGCGACAACGGTGACTCCGGCGACTCGGCGACAACGGTGACTCCGGCGACAACGGTGACTCTGGCGACAACGGTGACGTCTCTGTGTGTTCAGCCCTGAAAGAGCTTCAAGATATGATAAACAATAGGAGGGCACAGAGGCGAACGACTTTTCCATTTCTGATGTTACCACTTCACATTCAAGTTGAAATTTTTAAGTTCTGCATACAATCAAACCTGTCCATCCAGTTTGTGTATGCGAAGGTCGGCAAACCCTTTAGAGATTTAATAAGGTCAATGAGTTTGCAAACACCTAGAATTTACATTCGGCCGGATATTGGACTAGATACTAGTAACAGAAATCCTGTTAGCGTTCGTTTCCTATTAACAAGAGCGGGCAGAAACAACGGTCTTATTTCGGCAATAAAAGAAATCATCAAGGGGCCAAAATAGGCAAACGCATGGCTGCGTTTGCGTGTTAGTGGAATCGGTTGGTATGATATCATAGATGTCATGTACAGACATTACAGGTGAAATATACATGTATATCGGTGTTTGGAAACCTGTTATGTTATTTTTGTGATTGATGGTTATGTTCTTCTACCGGAAATTTGTTGTCATTTGCTCATTTAATGGTAACTTTTTACGAAGCACATTTGGGATATTTTGGCTGCTACTAAAATGAATGTATATATGTATATTATGTCTGGTCAAAATGCTACAGTTGGATTAAAATTTAAATGCTGTTCTATGTTCTTCAATATTACTTTGAAAAATCCTGTCAGTATACCAATAAATGAAAAAAGTACAAGTTTGTTGAATCTCTTGAATGAAACAAATTATAAAATACAAAATGTAAAATGAATATGTGATGATGATGACAAAACATTTGTGATGATGATGATGGTAAAAAAATTGTGATGATGATGGTGGTGGTGATGATGATGACAGTGGTTATGATGATTGGGGTTTGATGATTGTGGTGATGATGATGATGATAATAATGATGATGATAACAAACGTTTTGGGATGATGATGACAGCGATGTTTATCGGACGATGATGATGGTTATAATGATGATGATAAGATTTTAGATGATGATGACGGCGATGTTTATCGGCCGACGATGATGATAATGATGATGATTATAACAAAATATTTGTGATGATGATGATGGCGATGTTTATTGGCCGATGATGATGATGATGATATTCTCATCGTCGTCATCATCATCACAACATCCTCATTATCGACCGAAAACATCGCTGTCATTATCATCACAAAAAAAACTTTTGTGATCACCATTACGATCATGATAATGGATATGATGATGTTGGTTTTGATGGTGATGATGGTGGTGGTGTTGGTGAAGATAACAACGATGATGATCATTGGGGTGTTGATAATTGATGTGATGATGATGATGATGATGATGATGATGATAACAAACGTATTTTGATGATTATGACAGCGATGTTTATCGGTCGATGATGATTATTATAATGATGATGATTATGATGACAAATGTGTTTTGATGATGCTGACGGCGATTTTTATAGGTAGATTATGATGATGATGATGTGCTGACCGTCGTTATCATCATTACAAAACTTTTGTCATCATCATCACCATCGACCGAAAAACATCGCAGTTATCATCATCACATTTTTGTGATCTTCATTACGATGATGATAATGGTGATGATGATGATGGTGTTGATGATGATGATGACCTTGATGATTGTGGTGATAATGATGGTGATGATGATGACAATGATGATAAAAGTTTGTGATGATGATGATGACGGTAATTTTGATCGCCAAAACTTTTGTCATCATCATGACGCTGATGATGATAATGGCGTTAATGGTGACGATGATGATGATGGTGTTAATGGTGACGATGATGATGTAATTGATGATGATGACAATGGTGATGATGATTGGGGTTTGATGATTGTGATGATGATAACTGCGATGTTTATCGGCCGATGATAATGATTATAATGATGATGATGAAAAAAGTTTTTTATTATGTTGACGCCAATGATTACCGGCCGCCGATGATGATGATTATGATGATGATGATGATGATGCTGCTGATGATGATGATGATAATGATGAAGATGATGATGACCATGATGATTATTTTCATGATGGTATTGATGACGTTGATGCAAATTGTAGTTATGATGATGATGATGATGATGATGATGATGACGATGATGATGATGACGATGACGACGATGATGATGATGGTGATGATGATGATGATGATGATGATGATGATGATGATGATGATGATGATGATGATGATGATGAGATGACGATGATGATTATTTTCATGATGGTATTGATGACGTTGATGCAAATTGTAGTTATGATGATGATGATGATGATGATGGTGGTGATGATGATGATGATGATGATGATGATGATGATGATGATGATGATGATGATGATGATGATGGTGATGATGATGAGATAACGATGATGATGATGATGACGATGATGAGTGTGTACCATATTCGAATATGGTAAAAGTTTGTACCATATTTGGTCAGGCATTTTACCCCAAAACTGCAGATACGTATATGGTACAATTAGACAGTTGTACCATATTCGGCCGAATATGGTAAAAATTTGTACCATATTCGTTTTTGTACCAAATACGGTCCGACACAGCTTTAAAGGTTTAACAGGAACTCAACTGAGGTTCAAAGGTGTAAAAAACACACAACCAATTTTAATTTCTTACATAGATCAGCTGGGGTACTTAAAAAGAAAGGTATGCAAAGTTATTTAATAAATATACTAAGAAATAAATTGAAAATCGTATTTTTGTGCTACTCTTAGTTCGATTTCAGTGAAATGCGTAGCAACGCTTTCCAATAATGGGTCATTTTTTTCACAATAAAAATCATTATTTTTGGAAAAACGGAGTGAGCGAATGATCTAAAATTTTGTACATAAGTTATTGGTCTAGACCTACATCAAACGGAACATTTATCTCGAAAAATTATTTCCAGTCTTGTCATGTCAAAAACATCAGTGGAGTCCCTTTAAACCTTCACATGATATTCATAAACCAGTATAGATAAGGATTAAATTATATGATGACGATGGAACTGTACTTTATAAATTCAATTATAGTTGTAAAAAGTGTTTTGCACGCTTAACACGAATTGCACGCAGATCGCGATAGCCAGGAGAAAAACACGTGTACTAATTGCCCCGCTTTAATGTTACTAAATGTACATGATACCTGATACTTGTCAGTGCATAATAACAAAACGATGTAACGTGTCATTGACATTTTTCCCAAACATTTGAGTATTATACAAAATAGGTAAGTACTAACTTTCGCTTAAATCACTTGTTATAGTTAACAACTGACTGCCCTAATAAAGTTTGTAAATATGGATAGCATCGCGAGTAGCATATTTTTTTTATAAGTACACCTAAATTTAAATGAACTATATTGTCGATGTAGACTTATGATTTTTAATGAATCACTTGGTGCGAAAAGTAGTTCCGTAATATTGAATAATAGAACATTCTTGTCGGGCGAACTGTACAGCGTTTGATTCAGCTGCTGCAATCACATGAACCCGGGTTTCACTTTGCTGATTGCATGATACACGGAACACGGAATACTAGTAAATTGCATGTATACTGAATCTGTGAATTGTACGGTGATATGAAGTTGACGTAAGAAATCTATATTTTTTGACGTGCGCACGCATTAGCTATATCGTGCACACGCGATAGTATTAAGTGTCACGCGAAAGGTATTACGTACGTGCATGTTATCTATTGCGTAGTGACGCAATCGGTATGATACGGAATAACGTTAGGGCCATCGTGGTTATACGTAAAATACAGAGGGCGACAATGCGAGAGTGCGACAGTGCGATAACGACAATGCGACAGTGCGATGACGAAAATGCGACAGTGCGATGGCGAGAGTGCGACAGTGCAATGACGAGAGTGCGACAATGCGATAGTACGATGACGACAGAGCGATAGTGTTATCACACTGTCGCCATCGCACTGTCCCATTGTCGTCATCGCAATGTCGCACTCTCGCATTATCGCACTCTCGTCATCGCACTGTCGCACTCTCGCATTGTCGCACTCTCGTCATCGCACTGTCGCACTCTCGCATTGTCGCACTCTCGTCATCGCACTGTCGCACTCTCGTCATCGCATTGTCGCACTCTCGCCATTGCATTGTCGCACTCTCGCCATCGCACTGTCGCACTCTTGCATTGTCGCACTCTCGTCATCTCGTTATCGCACTCTCGTCATCGCGCATTGTCGCACTCTCGCCATCGCATTGTCGCACTCTCGCCATCGCACTGTTGCATTCTCGCATTATCGCACTCTCGTCATCGCGTTATCGCACTCTCGTCATCGCACTGTCGCACTCTCGCCAGCGCACTGTCGCACTCTCGCATTGTCGCACTCTCGTCATCGCACAGTCGCACTCTCGTCATCGCATTGTCGGACTCTCGTCATCGCACTGTCGCACTCTCGTCATCGCATTGTCGCACTCTCGACTATCGCCTTCTGGTGGACGGTTCTATACTGCTGGCGAATAAGCTGACGGTATAGAATATGGGATAATTTTTCAATTTAATTTCTTTTTGTCACATAATGTTCAAACTTCATAGGATAATTGTCCATATTACGGAATACCGTTAGGGCCATCGTGGTTATACGTTAAGTACAGAGGGCGACAATGCGAGAGTGCGACAGTGCGATAACGACAATGCGACAGAGCGATGATGAGAGTGCGACAATGCGATGACGAGAGTGCGACAGTGCGATGACGAGAGTGCGACAAGGCGATGACGAGAGTGCGATAACGCGATAGTACGATGACGACAGAGCGATAGTGTTATCGCACTGTCGCCATCGTACTGTCGCATTGTCGTCATCGCACTGTCGCATTGTCGTACTGTCGTCATCGCATTGTCGCACTCTCGTCATCGCACTGTCGCACTCTCGTCATTGCACTGTCGCATTGTCGACTCTCGCCTTCTGGTGGACGGTTCTAAACTGCTGGCGATTAAGCTGACGGTATAGAATATGGGATAATTTTACTTCCGTCAATTTTTTTTCTCTTTTTTTCTGTTTCTTTTTTATTATTTATTTGTTGTTTTTTCTGTATACTTATAATGTTTAAATGAAATCATAAATTAATAATAAGAATCATTTTGTATATAAATACTGAAAGAGTTATACATAGACGGAAAATGCAATTAATTGTATGAAACTTTAATATCCTCTGATGAAAATGATCTTATGTTGACATTTAAAAGAAGAAAAAATATTAAATAAAATCATTGTTTTTACTTGTATAAAAAAAGACAAACGAAATATATTCATTGATCGTCATCAGTGGTTTTATTGTTTTGTAAGATGAATAATTTATTATATTACTAACATTGTAAATAAAGATACATGTAATTAGAAATTTACGTCAACAAATATTTTTTTTCTATATATCTAACATAAGTGGTCAACAATTTTCACTTTAAGAGTAACTTAACAGCAGATTCTACTACAATGTATAAGTTTAATTGGTCAGCATATTGTTCAATACCCAACTGACTCCGCTGGTGGACATAGTGAGACAATGTGTTTCAATGTTGAAAAACCCATCTATCCATTAAATTTAATGCGAAAAAATTCTTACTGTTTAGTTTTTTGTTGTTGTTTTTTTTGGTTTTTTTTTAGGGAAACATGCAAAATTCGGATTACCAACTACCCACCGGTGCAGAATTAAGAATAACCAACTACCAGCTGGTGTAGAAGTTTATTCGAATATCAAACTACCAACTACCTATCAAATTGACGCTTCTTTAGATTTTTATCAATATCTAAGATCGAGCCATTTTTGGTGCTTGGCATAGCTAAACATAGCGCTTTTATATTTCTTAAAGGTAGTAAATAAATATGATTGAATAAAAAAAAAAGAAATATAAAAGATAATTATACCTGATTTCTGTGTCCACTTGTTTTATATATGAACAGCCACCGGAAAATCTTTGCACCACCGGGATAGTGTCAAACTTCACTACCATTTATACTTGCCTTAAACACTTAAAAATCATTTCATCCGATAGATTTAATGTAAATTATAAATAATTGACTTCATTTGAAGCTAATTTAATTTTTTTCTTATCAAAAAGTGTATTTTAAAAAATATGTCCGGACGGAAATTCATGTATTCCGCCCGGAATTATGCTGTCCGGTCGGAATTTACTTATATTCCAATTGGAATTTTTTCCAACATTATTATTTATTCCAACGGGAATTTCATTTTTTCCAGCAACGCTTAAACTATAAAAATAACCATTCATACATCCTTTAATGACTTTCTGACTAGTTTTGAAGAACTTATTCTCTAAAATAAAAAAATCCCATTTTGAAAGCTGGAAAAAATTCCGACTGGATTTTTACAGAAAAATTTTAATGAGTATAAAAGCGATAATAATTAAAGGTAAATGATAGTTTTCGATATAAATTAACATAATTATACACGCTGAATTACCAATAAGGTGCTTTGAAAAAAATGAAAATCCGATTGGATTTATTTCCAATTATTTTTGTTGGAAAAAAAATCCAACTGGATTTTTTTCCATTAAAAGTTATTGGAAAAAATCCAACTGGATTTTCATCAAATGATTCATTTTCAAATTATTTCACAGTTATCCATTTGATTTCCTTTTAATAAGAGATTACGAAGTATTTATAACTATGATGATAAATAATAATAATAATAATAATAATAATAATAATAATAATAATAATAATAATAATAATAATAATGAAAACAAGGAAGAAGAATAAAATTCCATGATGCGATTATAATTTATATAATCATTACTTTTATTCATTATTATTATTATGATGATGATTATTATTATTATTATAATTATTATTATTTTATTATCATATTTATTATAACATTGATTATTTGGCTGTTTATAGCCAAAGTGATTTTAGCTCAACCTTGAGAAAGAAAAACTGCTTATGAACAGAGGAAAATGATATTTATATTTTTACATTAATTTTATGTTTTTTAATAGTTTGAATATGTTAAATTTATATTGTTCCTTGTTGAGGGCCTCATGGAAGATTGATATATTTGTTCAAATGAGTTCGCTCGTTAAATAAAATCTAGAATCTTTATTATTATTATATTTACAGTGAAGTTTCAATTTACTTTGCAATGTGAGTAAAAATTGGTTTATGGTTTATGCCATATTTTTTTCTTCTTATACTATATGGTCAGCAGACTTAACTTACGGTGCTTTAGGTGCACATGTATACTAGAATCTGATGACCAGTTAACCCATTCCCGCATAAGCATTTTGTGAAAAATGTCTGTTTACATTGAACCCCCCCCCTGTTACACAAGTTCAAATTGCTATGAAACTATGATGTCGGTGGTTCTACTCAGGTACCTGTTTGTGCCTAAAATAATGCACGGAAGGGCACCTGAGGTCTTCATCCACCAGTAAAGCACCAGAGTGCGACAATGCTATGACGACAGTACGACATTGCGACAGTGCGATGACGACAATGCGACAGTGCGATGGCGACAGTGGTATAACACTATCGCTCTGTCGTCATCGTACTATCGCGTTATCGCACTCTCGTCATCGCATTGTCGCACTCTCGCCATCGCATTGTCGCACTCTCGCCATCGCACTGTCGCACTCTCGCATTGTCGCACTCTCGTAAACGCTCTGTCGCACTCTCGCCATCGCACTCTCGCCATCGCACTATCGCATTGTCGTCATCGCACTTTCGCAGTGTCGTCATCGCACTCTCGCACTCTCGCATTGTCGCGCTCTGTATGTTAACGTATAACCACAATGGCCCTAACGGTATTCCGTAGTATGACGTGGTTATGCGATGTTTACAACGTGCGCAGTCTATAGGAAATCGTGGCTACGCAAAAAAAGGTATTACGTATGGCTGCTCACGTAGAACGTTTCGCGTGGCAATGTAATGGCTTTTATGCACGTGATAGCTATTGAGTGCCCGCACGGGGTATTACGTGATCGCACAATATGTATTATATAAATTCCATATTTTTTTAAAATCTGAACTATACACACGATAGTTTTAAGTAGCCACGCGGTAGATGGTAGATATATGGAGGGTTATTTATGCCAAAATTACATCTTGCTTTCTTACGTTACATCGTGCTTTCTAACTTGTACATCGTGCTTTCTTACTTGTACATCTTGCATTCTGACTTTTAAATGGAAATGTAAATTTTAAAACAAAGGGACGTAACTTGGTAATCTGAATCCGACCCGCAATACGGACTTTACCGAGAATATAACTGTAGCGCCACCTGTAAGCATAATTTGGGTGTCACTCATTAATACACCAGATGTCGCGTCGTATTATGCTTGCTGCATTCGGCTTTCGGCTATGCGTCATTCTACCTTATGACATTCGTCATTCCTAGACCCAAATATAAATAGTTGCAGGTTAAGTATTAATATACCAGATCAACAAATGAAAATGAAAAATTATTGATAGTTAATTAACGATATCAATATACAAGTAAGCAAGACGCACACAGCAGAAAGCATAATATACATGTAAGAAACAAAGATGTAAAAATCAGAATGCAAGATGAACAAGTAAGATTATTCGTAAGTCTGTTACATTTAAGGCTTAATTCTGGAATTCTATTAATATAAGCAGAATTATGTATTTCTGTATTACTTTAAACATCAACACTAGACAAGTCAGTTGAAGCCTGAAATGTCCTATGTAAGCCATCTAGATTTCACAATATTACTTTATAAGTTAAGTCATTGTCAAATTATCAAAGTTTCAAATGTCATGTATGCTGGCGTGTAGTACTTCTCGAATCCTTTCACCAAAAAATGAGATCCTGCAGAATACACAAAAAACAACTTTTAAAGTCATCAGAAATGACACTACATTTACACTGATACAATAAATACACTTAAAATGTAACCAGTCACATCAAAAATGACTTGAAATAGGGCACTTTAAAATTCCATAGAACTATTTTCTAGCCTTCAACGGGTTGGGTCTAAATTCGTACCGGAGTGAGACCTCGTGTGGCCATGTAAACTATCCTGTGGGCACGTTTTAGCTTTCGCGTACGCATTTAGTAATAAAAGATTTCCAGTACTAGTGTCCTGTTTATGCTACCGTACTTATGCCGTCATAGAAACATATTTTATCATTTATTTATTATTTACTGCACCTATCATATTATTTTCAGACCACTTCGTGAGCTTATAATACGTCATATGATTTGTTTTCTGTTAATGTGAAGAACGCTGCCTGCTCGTGCAATATATCCTTACAGAATAAGACTCATCATTTCTGAAGACTTCACCACATGTGAGCGAAAATTAACTAACCAGTTTTACTGTTTGTTTAAAAACATCAATGGCCATGAGATCCGTCTGCCAAGGTGACGTCAGAAAACGCATCATCTTTATTCTTACAACAACAACAATACTTATCGATATTTTTCTTTTAAATAGTTTAATACTAAGTAACGTAAAATTCCAATTCGTCACAAAAACGTCCATGACTTTGAGGATAAACGATGGAGCAGACGACAAAAAGAACGCTGTTGATGGTGAAACGACGACAGTTGACAATACAACTCTCAGTCACGTATCACAGATGATTACAGACATAGCAGAAAGTTATAGAGAAGCAGACGATATTGTGAACGCGGGAAATAAACGTAACTTTTATTGCCCGCCGTTTCCGAGAAAGAAACATGGCGTAGAGGATTTAATGTGTATGGTAAGTGGCATTTATAGTCAAGTTTTGTATCATCTTGTATAGGTATTTACAGCAGTAAACATTTAAATAGTTACATAAAATACCCCTGAATGACTTTCACATTAGAGATCTAAATTAATGTGCTTAAGAACATTTTCGGGAGTTTTCATATAGTCTGATATAGACATATAGGCAAAATTAAAACTGTTAGATATAGATTTTCTTTAAACTTGATATGTTGTTAGAATATGATAACAGAAACATTTTAAGCGAAAAAAAATTGGGGTCCGAAAAAAGGCCATTATTTTTCATATACAGATTGATTTAGCAAACCCTTGATGTTGATGAACTTATGTTGGACCTTGGCCTTAAATTGACATTGGCATGAAAGGTCAAAAAGTTTAATTCTGCTAAAATTGCTAATTGAATTGTTTATATCGGAGGGATTTGATTCGTATTTAGAAAAAAAAACACTAAGCAGGGATGCGTCATGTTTAGCAACACAAGTTTGACATTGACCTTAGAATGACATTGACCTGTGTTGTCAAATTATTGAATTTTGCATACGTTGACCTTTACTTTGTTGTTTTTGATGCTTTGTATTCATACGAAATGAACTTGTCATTTAACTTCACATGATATTGACATATATCATAGTAAAATTATTGATTCTTAAAGGCTTAATATGCCTGACAAATGTTTTTATTTACCTTAAAGTATTTAGTGTCCTGTTATGGTATCCACATTGGCCAGTTACCTGAACCATCCTTTTTAGCTCGACTATTCGATAAGAATAAGTAGAACTATTGTAGTCACCCGAGCGTCGGCGTCGGCGTCGGCGTAACCACTTATGTTAAAGTTTTTGTAATAGTTTAAATATTTTCAAAGTCCATTGACATATGGCTTTTAAACTTTGTACACTTGTTGACCATCATAACCCCAACCTGTAGACAAGAGGGGTAACTCTATCAAGCATTTTGACAGAATTATGCCCCTTTTCCGACATAGAAATTACGTTAAAGTTTTTGTAATACCTCAAATATTTTCAATATCCATTGACATATTGCTTTGAAACTTAGCATACTTATTCACCATCATAACTCCAACATGTAGACAGGAGGGGGTAACTCTATCAAGCATTTTGACAGAATTATGCCCCTTTTTCGAATTAGAATTTACTTTAAAGTTTTTGTAATACCTCAAATATTTTCAAAGTCCATTGACATATGACTTAGAAACTTTGCACACTTATTAACCATCATGACCCCAACATGTAGACAGGAGGAGGTAACTCTATCAAGCATTTTGACAGAATTATGCCCCTTTTTCGACTTAGAATTAACGTTAAAGTTTTTGTAATACCTCATATATATTCAAAGTTCATTGGCATATGGCTTTGAAACTTTGCACACTTATTCACCATCATCACACCTACATGTAGACAGGAGGAGGTAACTCTATCAAGCATTTTGACAGAATTATGCCCCTTTTTCGACTTAGAATTAACGTTAAAGTTTTTGTAATACCTCATATATATTCAAAGTTCATTGGCATATGGCTTTGAAACTTTGCACACTTATTCACCATCATCACACCTACATGTAGACAGGAGGAGGTAACTCTATCAAGCATTTTGACAGAATTTTGTTCTTTTTCGACTTAGAATTTACGTGAAAGTTATTGTAATACCTCAAATATTTTCAAAATTTATTGACATAAGGCTTTGAATCTTGTTGAAATTTTATAATCTTCTTTGAGAGCATAATAGGACTCTCTCCAAGGCCTATACCTGTAATATGGATTTAAAGAAAAGTTTTGCCTTTTTCTTTACTTAGAAAATTTTACCTTTTAATCAAGGCTTTTTTACTATCAAGCACTAAGAATAATCGAGCGTTGCTGTTCTTCCGACAGCTCTTGTTCCTTCTGTTGTTTTTTGAGCAATATTTACAGATATAATGATACTACTACATAATACTACTTTGTTTACATTTTGCTACTTTTGTGAAAAATAATTTCACATTCAATTCTTTATTTCTGCATATTATAAGTATCTTATATGCATCTAAACGTTATAAAACTCTGGGTGCCCCTTTTAGGAAGGACAAAGCTATTAGTTTCTGAAGCATAATATAATGTGCCTTTGAATGAGTCAATATTTTTTTTTATTAATGGACTGATTTGATTTCAAGAACTCCCATACAAATGTTACGTTGAGCATTTTTAGGTATAGTATGGCTATGACCTTCAGTTGAGGAGCAAGTGTTTATGTTTCTTTTACTGTTATAGATATAAAAAAAACACTCTATCTGTGGAGATGTATTTATCTTTTATAAAGACATTTTATTTAAATCGTAAGATGATAAAGTGTATAGTAACTATATAACAGGGGATAAGGAAATGTTAAGATCAAAATAGATATGCTTCCGAAAGAAGTATAATGATCGGGGAATCAGGTTCTTGTATTCGCATGGCAATTGTAAAGTTTTGTAAGACATGGTAGTGATACTGCCATAAAAAATGCGTAGGTAGACCATATCTTTTTAAAGTAATTGAAATAAGAATTATTGCCATTTAAAGGTGAATGCCTACAGATGAGCCAAGCTATTGCAAGAAAGTAGAACTAGAGAAAAATCTACTAAGATGTTAAGAAAAGTAAAATTATTTAAGATTCAAGTTAGTAATTATGGTGTATGTGCAAAATATTTGAAAGACCCTGGTGCGAGTAAAGACTGATTTTGTAAATTCTATAACCATATTTCGATTGCGTGACTTGCACATTAAGGGCTATTTTTGAATTTATTAACTACTTTATAGGCCATTAAAAATCAGATTTTATAAATATTCTTTCAATACATAAACAAAGATATAAAACAGAAAAAGGTTTTAATAAACATGCATTACCATTCTGAATATACGTCCCCTTAGTTAGCAGCTAGATCTAATTCAACGTCAAATACTATAAGAAAGAAAACGGTAGTGGAACATTCGGCCGATACGCAGGAGAGTACTTTTTAAAGAATTACCAGAGACCGTTCCAATCAATCAACCAATCAATCAATCAATCAATAAATCACTCAATCAATGTATTGTATTGTATGTATGTAACGTTATATAATGTAACGAAGCGCAACGTAGCTTAAGGTAAGCTAAGGTAACGTATTTATCTATTTATTAATCAATTCATATATTTATTTATTTATCTCCCATTTTTATAGCATGCACCAAAATTCTTACCCGAATATAAGAATCCATGCTGGTTTTCCTTGATTGGGAAATTTCGATGCCTTCCATATTTCCAAATAATTGGAATCGATAAGAGTGGGACAACAGATTTGTTTGACAAAATAGCCAAACATCCAGACGTGCTGAGAAATGAGGGGATATTACAGAAAGAAACAATGTGGTGGTCGTGGCTGCGATACGGTAATCTTTTTAATACATTGCAGTTGTGTAAATATTTTAGGGGCCATAAATTTCAAATTTTGTAAGGAACGGTAGGTATGTTTTGGAAAGTTAGCAAAAGTGAATGTCTGTTTGATACCGAACAACATCAGCGTTTCCAAAGCTTTGATTTTGTAATAAGATCTATTCGAAAGCGCTTTCAATGTTTTTCATATTAAGAATAATCTGTAGATCTGGGGGTACAATGGCAAACTGATATTACACTGATACCGCCATTTGTTACTAAAAGACACCGCAAAAAGACGTTTTAACGAATGAGACATCTACGTTTAATCAAAGCACAGAAAGCGCAAGATTTGTTTGGGTCTCCGAATGTCAGAAAGGTGTAGGTTGTGAGATTATAAACCAATTTGTTTTTGTATAGTGCCACCAATGCTTTCCAGCGTTTTAATTGTAGTTAATTGGCTAAACAATTTCAATTGAAAAAAAATGAGTTGCCTTATTTGGGATTCGAACTCCAGACCTCTCGCTGCCAAAGCGAGCGCGCAAACCCCTCATGGAGCTTACTATAAGCATGTATATCTATAAAGAATAAAACAATATTAGAAATCTTCGACCATTCGGGAATTATTTTGCTTAAAAATTAATGCGCCTGTCGTTTGACCATCTTTACGCAGTGATCTCCCCTGAATTTTTCGGCGTTAATGTACAAGGGGAAGTAGCCGCTTCAAAAAAGTGGACTACTTTCGGCATTTGCAATTAACAGCATTAGAGCCTGAAATCAAATTTGAGTTCTACAAACCTCTCAAAGTTTTTTTTATCCCGAAACCATGTGCCTGTGGCAAAAAACGTTTTAAAAGATACCAACTCAAAACTTGATTATCATTATAAGTTGCAGTTGTTCAACAAAAGGCATCATTCTGAAAGTTATATTTTTGAAGTTATGCTATGCCCCTTTAAACTTTTGTTAAAATCGATTATTGACAGTCCTTTACGAGCGTTAAAACAGCAAGCGATGCTCTTGTTTCTAATCACCTCTTTTTATAAAATAAAATGAAATAGAATTCTGTACATTTTGGAGCTGGCGGGGTTCGAGTAATTTTTATGTAACAGATATCTATGGTAAAATTTCGTTATAATGACGCAAAGTTTTCATTTGCAGGTCACAAGCTGAAAGAAAGCAGAGACATTCAGAATTTTAAGACATATTTACAGTATTTTACAAAGGCCGCCTACGCCATTAGATCTGAAACTGGCTCGAGGCTCATAACAGGTATGTCTACCCAAAAAATGAATATCTAAAAAAAGAAGTTATATCTAAAAATAGAAGTTATATCTAAAAATAGGAATATTGTATCCAAAAATAAAAATATATCTAAAAACAGAAATTATACCTTAAAACAGAAATTATATATTATTATATCGAAAATTATATCAGAAAATATAAGTAGAAAGTATCAAAACTAGAAGTTATATCTAATTATATCGAAAATAGAAAATATATCTAAAATAGAAATTATATCCAAAATTAGAAAAATTATGAAGGGCAGTTACTTACATTTATTTTGCGTTACGTCTTGTGAAAAGCTCTTGTATCTATTTAAGGTGATGCAACGCCAATGGATTTTTGGGATATGAGTGGATGGAAGGTTATTCCACAGAACAGTAGATTAAAGGAGCCAGTCATCATAACACCGCATCTGATAAAACACATGAATCCGCACGTTAAACTTGTTCTAATTTTGAGAGATCCAATAGAAAGGTAATACATAAAACATTTTTTCTCATGTGTGTTAGGGTATTCTAGGCGCTGAAGGCCATAAAGTGTTTCATTTTTTTCATGAAAAACTACTTAGATGTAAGCTAAAAATGGCATTAAAGCAGGAAGCCTCCAGATTCATTTTCATGAAAATTTTGGAAATGGAAAGTGAAATATTGTGAAGTGAACAAATAAAGGAATTTACGGATTGCAATCGCCACATACAACCCAAGAAAATTACCAAAATTTGGACAATGTATGCAAAAACAGCCCTTACTGCGTTTGTAACGCAGTAGAAACATGGTGATAAAATACTGCAAAAGCAGTCTTAAACAGCATATAACATGTAGATATCACTTGAATATTGAATTTTTTCACTTTTCATTAAATTTTGATATATTTTTCTTTCCCAATATTGATTTTCTTGAAATATTTTGGTTCATCTTGAGGCGTGCAGCTTTAAAATGAATGTGATATTCAGAAAAAATACAATTTTTTTTCGGAACCTGAAAAATAGGAACCTGTTATTTTTCGTGTACTGTAACAATTTCTAAAAAGAGACACTTTAACAATATAGCTAAGTTTTTAGCAATTACTTTCGTATTTTATATAAATGTCAAAATACCATTTTCTTTACTTCCTGCTATCTTATCACACCTATTTAGCAATCAGCGATATTTCCTTCAGCTGATGAGTTCCGCACATGTTCTGAATCCTCTTCCTTAAGAAAACATTCATTTCTAAGGCATAAAGGGCATGAATTTAAGCTGCTATAAGTGATGACGTCACACTTGAAAACACCATGTCACGTGACAAAATGTACGACAAAATAAATAAACAAAAACAAAAAAAAAATTCTAAAAACACGATTTATTTTTTATCGTTACCCAACATTTGTCGTTGATACCTTAATTAGTTTCATTAAGGTTATTTACATATATAAGTGACACTGACTCTTTTTGGCAGGATTTTTATACGTACATAACATAAATTCCTATTTTTTCTATTCTATTGAAGGCTGTTGAGTGACTACTTTTTTCTGCAACAAGGTGTTATGACTGTTGAGGGATTTCATTTAGAAGTTGTTAAGTCCATCGTTAAACTTCACCTTTGTACAAGACAGAATACTTTACGAGGATGTCTATATGACAGGAATTTGCATGTCGGACTAAATGTAAGTATTGAAAGTATTTAAAATCTCGTGCATTTTCACGCATTTTTAGGGTCGAAAAAGGGTCTAATTCACAAAGTCAGAAATGACATTTTTTCACAATTGATTAATTAAACTTCACCGTTGTCAAATTGAATTTATTCTACAGAAGTGACTATTACATACGATATGAAACAACAGAGAGATGGATCAATGGGACTTTACTTAATCAGTTGTTTGTCAAATGAAAGCATTTCCCATCACATGACTTTATGTTTCCATTGCTTACTCTTTAACATTATGATGTAGGATTATATATATAAAAATAATGGTATTACGGCGCTTATTTTCACAATTCAAAGAGACTCGAACCCTTTTCATAAAAGACTTGAAAAAACAGCAACACGGAAATCATAATTGATTCTTCTTTCTCACTTGTCTGGATTCGATTCTCGCCGAGGCACGATGAGCTCTTACGTGTATGGAAATTGTATAAGATTGTTCGGTTTTAATGTATCGGCTATTTAAAGGTACAAAAGTTGACTTCGAGTATAAGATCTATCGATCAACTGTCTTTCTATGTATCTGTATAATTATATCTTGTGTTTTTTTGTTTTGTTTTGGGTTTTACGTAACATCGACACAGTGTAGGTCATATCGCGACGTTTCAACTTTACTGGTGGAGGAAGACCTCAGGTTCCCTTCCGTGCATTATTTCAGGCACGAACGGGCACCTGAGCAGAATCACCGACGTTCCGTAAGGTAGCTGAATAGCTTCCTCACATGAAAGAATCCAAAGTACTTGTCGGGATTCGAACCCACAGCGGTGAGGGGCAAGTGGTTTGAAGTCAACGACCTTAACCACACGGCCACGGACGCCCCCATAATTATATCTAGTCATTTGTCATAGTCATTTGCTTTCTCTAAAAATTAACGTTTAAATGACAATACCATACCGGAAATAATCACACATTTTTTTTTTTAAATTTACATACAACGGTCCCCAGCATCCGAACATTTTCAAGACATTTAGTACTTCAGCTACTGTTACTTTTAATTCAGATTACATGTATATTCATCTAGAATTTCATTTTCTTTATTTTTATTCCAGGCTAGAATTCATCTAGGATTCTACTCTGTTTTCTTGAAAGACTGGTTCAAGGTGTTTCCCCGGGAACAATTTTTCATCGTAACAACTGAGATGTACTCGCAGTACCCTGATCTTGTTCTAAAACAAGTGTATTCTTTCCTTGGTCTAAGTAAGAACGCTGTTAATTACAAAGATTCTGATTGTCGGTTACATGGACATAATTTTACGAGTTGTATTAAGTAGTACAATCTCTGTACAGAGACACACGTTGGGAGTCAAAATTGAGCCGTGTCACGACAAAACCAACATAGTGGGTTTGCGATCAGCATGGATCCAGACCAGCCTGCACATCCGCGCAGTCTGATCAGGATCCATGCTGTTAGCTTACATACCCTATAACAAGTAGAGAAACAGATAGCGAACAGCATGGATCCTGATCAGACTGCGCGGATGCGCAGGCTGGTCTGGATCCATGCTGGTCGCAAACCCATTATGTTGGTTTTGTCATGACACGGCTCAAATATCTTTATTTTGCTGAGAAGTGAGCAGTGAGTTTGGAAAATTTACTGTTTAGTCTTTCTTTAGGAAACAAATAATAAATTATATTGTTGTGAAAAGATTTTATAATCATCTTAATTCAAGAAATAATGTTGCCAAAGCGTCAATATATCGTGTTTTTCCTTGGCATAATTCGACTTTTATATCATATTTCAAGCTAAAGTTTAAATCGATTTTTTCACCAAATATCTGACATTACTATGATTTTAGTGCCATCAATTACTAAAGATATTAAAACAAAATCAGTTATTCGTTTCCCTCTTAGTTTGATACAATTCCGGATTCCATGCGTTCCGGACCACAGGTTGCGATATTGTCCGGTACAATCACGTGGTACTAGAAAAAACCCGGAAAGTATAACAAGTTAAAATGGTTTCCTGCGAGGGGAATGTTTAATGATTAAAACGTGTTTCATTTAACTCTTTCAAAATTGTTTGAAAAAAAGTTTGTAGCGAATATAGTTGAAAAAGATCGATCAGTAGAAGGTCTTTGGAAACCGGAGACCGTCGAAGACCGGAGACAGTCGATTAGAAGGTCCTCCATCCGATCTGTATGATTTTTTTAAATCTTCGGATGTAAGTGAAGTAAAAATATATTTCTCTAAAAAATATCAGATACCATTGTGTGAATAATTCCATACAAAAAATAAAGTAAACACAAGTTTACGCAGAAAATATTTCTGTTTATTATGACAGATGCCACTACTTATGTTTTAATTTACACATTTTCATTATAAACAATTTATGTTTTGTAAAGTTTGAGTAAGATATCAAAGGAACATTGATAATTTTCAAAAACATCAAGTGTTTCCACCTTCAACGGTTAAATAATGATAGAGGAATAGAGATATCATAGAAGTATACACACAATGGTGCTATGTACATAATAAGGTGTACTTCCCCAGAGCTAAATTAATAACGTACCGCAAAACGGTGTTAACTAGGTTTTCGAACAAACATGTACGGTTTACAGATCACGTGCTCCTACACCTACTGAAAACAGGTCACGTGCTCCTCCATACCGCGTACCAATACCCTGTTGTCTCCAGCCCGCAGGGAATAAAAGAAGGTATTTCCCGTTGGCAGAAAAGCAAACTGTTTATTTTCAGTGCAGTAATGTTTAAATATGAACAATGTGAAGTGTCATTTCGATATCTTTTAACATATTATGTTTTTGAAGAGAGGTTTTGAAATAATTGTGAAACGGTAGTTTTTTCTGTTATGTTCTGGAGTTCAGCTGCTTGAAAGTAAAAATTAGATAAATGCTGTTTTTTCTCACATTGTACTTTCAGTTTTCATATCAGATTACAAGATAGAGTCGTTTTTTGTGTTTTTTTATCCATCTATTTATTTATTTCTAATGTTACAATAATTGGTTTTAGAAGCTTATCTAACGAAATTGAAATTCATTACTTATAATAGAAATTTTATATGTCTTTAATATACGAGAGTCTAAACATCTGAAATAGCTGTATATTCACCCATATTGAGCTGTTTGAATTATTGCTTTCATTTTTTAATTATTGTCTACATAACATATGTTAATCTAAGAAAAGTACAAAATTTATGTCCAATATAAAGATTGAATGAAGTTCATAGCTTAAAGTTTATGAGATATATTCCAGATAAGGTCAGTGTCGCTATGACACTGCCTTGTACTGGTTATTAACCTTTTTTGTTCTGTGCCAGAACTGTTATTATGGTAAGCTTAATGTATTTGACTTCCCTGAAAATTGCTGGATGATGAGTTTGTAACTTTAAATGGATGTTTGTATGTTTGTTCCCAGTTATAGCTATATAGGATATAATTTAAATTATACTGTACTTTTGTATATATAATTTAATCTATACTGTACGTTAGTACTTCTGTACTTTTGTTAAAAATGAAAATGAACAATAAGTTTTTTTAAATATAAATAAAAATCTAATTCCCTTGTCAACAAAAACAGATAACAAAGACAGAATGAAACAGCCCAACAGAATACAACAGACAGACAGACGGACAGACAGACAGACAGACAAGCAGACTAAGGAGTGAATGAATTAATGAATGACCGGCCGACCGACCGACCGAACGAACGAACGGACGAATGATTGAGACAGTCCATTCACTGGAAATACTTTAAGTAATTTAATACTTGTTTTGCTATTATTTTCTAAGTTTTTTTTTGTATTTGTATTTACACATAGTTTGAGCTGTTGACGGAAAAAATAACATTTGAGATCGGAGTTATTTCCACTGATAAAACATAAAAAATAGTGAATGCCCTCTCGCTGTCAGCCCGTAAAATATTATTTGCGTCGCATGTTGCTAAGAATGTATAATTCCTACAGACATGAAACCTACTCCTGCAAAGAGCGAGTATAGTTGTCGGCATGTTAATAACTCAGGCATATGGCCTTCGTGGTAAATTCCTAGGCATGAAAAATCCAAACCGATTTTAAAAAGCCGTTAAACACCCCTGAAACGGATGGCATTACTTTATTATCACCTTGGACTGTTGTTGTTGGCAGTGGTAGTGGAAGTGGCGGTGCTTTTTGTTGTTGTTGTTTATTTGTTTGATGTTCTTTTTTTTTGTTATTATGGTGTTTTTTGTGTGTTATTTTTGCTTTCAAAAGTAATGGAATGAAGCAGTTCTGTTTCTGTCAATGGTGTCTAATAGATAATTTTTATGCTCCCCGCCTTGTCTGTCTGTCCGTCCGTCTGTCCGTCCGTTTTCTTGTCCGGAGCATAACTTGAAAACCCTTGGAAATAATTTGTTTAAACTTCATACAGTGGTAGAAGGCATTGAGGGGGAGTGCAGTGTTAAAGAACCATAACTCTATTTTGCCTGGTTTTTGAATTACGTCCCCTTATAGAAAAATCTTGTCCGGGGCATAACTCTAAAACTATAAGAGATATCAACATGAAACTTTGTAGGTGAATAAATCTCAATGGGTAGATGTGCAGTGCATAAGAACAATAACTTTTTTCCCTAATTTTAGAGTTATTGCCCTTTGTTAATTTCAACACTTTGAACTTTGTCCGGAACATAACTCTAAAATTATAAGAGATATCAAGATGAAACATTTTAGGTAGATAGATCTTATTGAGTAGAAGTGCAGTGCAAAAGAACCATAACTCTGTTAAGCCTCATTTTTAATTATCTCCCCTTATAGAAAAATCTTGTCCGGGGCATAACTTTAAAACTATAAGAGATATCAACATGAAACTTTGTAGGTGAATAGATCTCAATGGGTAGATGTGCAGTACATAAGTACAATAACTCTTTTTGTCCTAAGTTTAGAGTTATTGCCCTTTGTTAATTTCAACACTTTGAACTTTGTCCGGAACATAACTCTAAAAGTATAAGAGATATCAAGATGAAACATTGTAGGTAGATAGATCTCAATGAGTTAAAGTGCAGTGCAAAAGAACCATAACTCTTCTAAGCCTCATTTTTTTAACTATCTCCCCTTATAAAAAATCTTGTCCGGGGCATAACTCTAAAACTATAAGAGATATCTACATGAAACTTTGTAGGTGAATAGATCTTAATAGGTAGATGTGCAGTACATAAGTACAATAACTCTTTTTGTCATAATTTTAGAGTTATTGCCCTTTGTTAATTTCAACACTTTGAACTTTGTCCGGAACATAACTCTAAAAGTATAAGAGATATCAAGATGAAACATTGTAGGTAGATAGATCTCATTGAATAGGAGTGCAGTGCAAAAGAACCATAACTCTGTTAAGCCTCATTTTTGAATTATCTCCCCTTTTAGAAAAATGTTGTACTGGACATAGCTGTAAAACTATAAGAGATATTAACATGAAACTTTGTAGGTAGATGTATCTCAATGGGTTTGAAGTGCAGTGCATGAGAATCATAACTCTGCCTTGCCTAATTCTGGAGTTATTGCCCTTTGTTTATTTTTACTTTTTGAAGTTGTCCGGAACATAACTCGGAAACCATAAGAGATATCAACAAGAAACTTTGTAAGTTGATAGATAACAGTGATTTAGAAGTGCAGTGCAAAGAACAGTAACTCTGCCTTTCCTAATTTTGGAATTATTGCACTTTGAACTTCCAGGGACATAACTCTGAAACTACAAGAGGTGTACTTTCCTGTGTCCAAAACCTATTCGGGGAGCATCACCCGGCTCAAACCGGGCTTTTGTTAACGTTTAACATTAAAATGACGTTAAAGTCACGTGACAGGGAAAAAGTGCTTCAGTTAACGGGAAAATAACCAAAGTGTTTATTCGTTTTTTGCAGGGAAGTTGACAGGAGAAGAAATAGATCTAATAGCTACAGCAAAAAGGCAGTATGTCACTAAAAACAAAGCTAACAAGATGCTCAATGAAACCAGAGCCATTCTTGAACAACTTTATGCACCTTTCACACAAGAATTAGGAGCCATTCTTGAAGATAAAAGCTTTCTTTGGAAGGAAAAAATGATAACTACTTGAAACGATAGTGTACTTTTAAACATAACGAGATTTTAGAATTAGCTATGAAGTAAGACCTAAGCATAGAAACAGTATGGAACAAACAGGTGCTTTCGTGCTTTCACCAAATTCAAGTAAGTTGAAAGATAGAGCAGATTGACGGATTTTAAACAGCATACAGGTATTTCTATAAAGGTATATAGATATTTTGAAGTTGTAGCGCTTGGCAGCTAAAGTTTAAAATTACAACGTTATGCTTTAATATATATCGCCGTTTGTATCCAGGGCTCAGGGAGTCAGGGTTATTTAACTATTTTAAGAATGCTGTCTCAAATCTCAGGGTTTTCATTGGTCCGTGAACTGACCAATCACATACTTGAGATCTGAGTTTGAGCTAAGATAATTTCTTTATAATCTCAGATCCGGTAACGCAGGGCAAAATTGTTCAATGCCATGGCCAAAAATGAACTACTCGGTAAAAAAATGATCCAGTGTGATTCATATGAAAACAATAAAGAGAAATGAATTTGTGCATAAGTGAAAACTGTAAGCATCATTAAAGAATATTTGCAGGATTTATTTTTCAAGATTATTTGTGAGAATAACGAACTGGTTATCGTATATGTGTTTCATCGATATCTATTTATAAAATAAAGTTTTTATAACATTACTGTGTTTGATATACGGTATACAAGAGACAACGTGTCATATAACGCTGATAAAGCAAGTAAAATGAGAGACGATTTTAAAAAGATAACGCCAATTCCGAAGCAACGCTAGTTGCCCATCAATTAAAATACATGAATGTCAGAATCTTGAATTGATTTTCTCATTGACTTACATTATGAAAAAGGCCGCTTATCTTATATATAAATTGAGTTTTTCTGCTAAAGAGGTGATTTTCTTCTAGGAAAATTAAATGCCTAACACATAAAAATGCTTGTTATATAGGGGTAGCCACCCAAATCGTTTGCAAAATGACTTCAAAGAGGATTCACCCCAACCCCTTTTCATTGAAATTTTCTGCTGATGAGAGGACTGACATACACTTTTTATAAATGCAAATATCCAAGTCACAAGTATGAAATATTTCATTTTTTTTAGAAAACTATATAGCGTTAGTTTCTAAAATAATTTTCATACTTAAAAAGACATCTCATTTTCATCTAATCACCTAATGTTCCATTGAATCTAACTGTTATCCCTGCACTTTTTTCAGGCAATCGCTAGTCATGTCAAATGCGTTTAATCTTTTCTTTTAATTTGATTTACTCTAAACTACTTTGGTCCGTTTACTTACCGTTGTACTGGTTTTTGCCAAAGCCGTGCACAAATTCTGAGCTACTGTTCCACATTTCCTGAGTTATTTTGTGTGTAACTTTCCAGCGGTATTAGACATACACTGTGTATATGGGGCTTGAAAAATGCAATTAATTAAAATGAACCCTAAACCTAATGGACAAATGCTATAGTCATAGCATGTCTCGTTCTTATAGCACTGTAACACCGCACTTTGGGGTCCAACCAACCCAAGAGTGCGTTTGATCACAAACTGCGGTGTTACATAGCACACCGCTTACACCCCTGGCTGTAACTGATTCTACCCATGCGTCAAGTGCAGACCAAGATCAACTGGTACATCCTTCTTGTCATGTTCTGCACTGTTCATCATTTTAGTTGATTTTTTCCTAGATAAGATGAATGGCAATGTCCAGATAGAAAGATGGACAAGTCTATTTATGATATTCATGGGTTAATCAGATTCTGTTTTATTGTTAACTTTCTTTAAATGCTCAGATAACGTATCACGATCAGCATTTGTGTTGTCCTTTTATTCTTTTCATTTTTATTTATGGACTGTGTCATTATTTCCTCTTAAATATGACGTCATAAGCTATAGTATCTGCTTTTTCTTACCACGTTTAATTTGATATAATGTCTTTTTCTCTTTGTTATTTTTATTCCGGATATGACGTCATTAGACCAAGTATCTGTGTCGCTATGGTAAAATCTACTTTCTTTTAATAAATCCCAAAGCGCCTGTTTCTCTTTCAAACGTATTCTATTAAGATGCGATGCCGTTTAATCAACGTTAGTATGCCCAGTTTTAACTAAGATTTGGGCGTACGACCGATCTTACGCTTACGTCGCGTTTTATCAACATGGTCGCAACTAAGACGCCGTAGATTAACGTCGTATATCTACGTCCCCTTCAGACCACTCAAAAGTACGCTTAATATCTTATATAAGATAAGATTACAGTTCTTTGTTGATAAAAAGGCACCATGTTTGTTTCTCATTTCTGTTTTATTTGGCGTCATTTGATCACAATACGACATTCCTTCCTAAAGATCGTCTACGTTTCTATGACGTTTGTATGGTATGATATCATTAGGTCACATGTCCACACGTGTCATATTTCATGTGACAAACGCCTGCAAGTTTATAGTTTACATTTACTATTAATTTGACGTCATTTTGTCACACTTTTAAGATATTGCTTAACTGTTAAGCGTCTTCTTTTATATTCCTTTTTTCCTTCAATAGATGTAGTAGGACACACGCGTTAACTTTTGTATGACATGTTCCGCTTTTTGTATTTTTATGTTTTGTTATGAGATATTATAATATTGTTTTGTTATGATACAATAAATGACTTATTGTTATCAATTTTGTTACATATCTGTTATGTTAAGGCTTATTGATAGATCTAGTAGATCTAGGGCAAAAAGAAGAATACAGAAAAAAATAATAAAGACAGAAAGGTAAACTTCGTGAATGCTTTACTTCTTTATTTCAACAACATGGTACAGACTAGAGCTTACTGTAAAATTATACAAGTTTTGTTATCTGCCGGCCGTCAAGCGCTGGATAATGTAAGAATTTAAACAGAATAATATAGTCTATAATCACATAATTAAGATCTAAAAATTTAAACTACATATATAAATGGTCATAATACATGATATTTCAAATTCTTATAATTTCAAACATATATCTATATAAAAAAAAGATATATTCAGTGTACAAATATAGTAACTACCGCCCAGGGAATGATGCGCATCACGCCCATAAAGAATTGGCCTGCTTGTCAGTTATTTATGGGGAGGGGGGGGGGGTGCCACTCCTGGTCCGTGCATTATTCCAGGCACATCCAAATATTTTTATTTCTATGCATAGATTAGAAAAATAATTACTTTCCATTGACACCTCGATTTACTGCTATTACAAATAAACCCATAATTTTACTTTAATTACAAAAAATTGGCAGCTAAACAATATTTAAACCTCCGTATTCTGAAAGTTCATTTGAAAATAATTCAGTGGCAGGCACATATTCGATATCCATATAACATAATGGTGTATCCATATAACATATGGTGTATCCATATAGTATATGGTGTTTACATATAACATACGGTGTATCCATATAGCATATGGTGTATCTATATAACATATGGTGTATCCATATAACATATGGTGTATCCATATAAAATTGAGCAACAGAAAAAATTACTTATGACTTTAATATAGAGCCTGTTTGCGGCAAATTGTTAGACTGTGGTGGGTGGAAATATTATACATTAAGGTCGGAATATCGAATTACTTTCTATAAACTGGATTCATTTGAGCTCTTTTTCTACAGAAACATTCATAAGATATTGAATTAATTTTTTTTCTTGATATAATCAAGTTAACGACCGAAAATACCTTTTTTCGCATCACATGGAATAAAAAAAGTCATATGAGCAGAGACAAAAAAATAACAACATGTTCTTATCCCACTCAGAGGTTAGATGATTTAAATGTTCAAGAGATGGATAGTACATAAATATTAATAAAATATATGTTTGTGAGTAACAGTGCAAGATTTATATCATCCCGAGGAAAGTACTGTACTGTACCACTTCGGATAACAGTGTTTTTACGGGGTTGATATTTTTGCTGTTACTCACAAACCAATGTAATACTTACTTTATTACCTCGAACAAATTCTTAGTTGGGACATTGTTTCTCAGATTTTCACTTATAGTAGTATAAAATATTTAGTCACGTGGTACAGTTAAATTATTCACGAAACATGTGAATTGGCCCAGCAAATTAGTAAAATATAAAGATTGCAATAAAACAAAACTAATAACATTACACGCAAGCATGATACTTATTCATTCTAAATATGGTCTAAAATTTTATTTAAATTCATTTCTGGAAGGAGTAAAATACGAAATAAAAACACCTATGTTGAATATTTCACGTGTTTTCGTCATTTTCGCCATATCTTTCAACTGGAAAAAATATGAAGGCATTTTCCCGACACTTAGATATTTCACACATACTTTACTTCAATATCAACTAATTGGCACACGAAATTTCAAGGTGTCGAAATCGTGCCTTCATTCTTAATTTTTATGTAATATACTTGGCCGATGGTCAAAGTTACGAGTGACTCGGGTCGAATTACAAGCTTTTGTTTGCAGGCTTTTCTTTCATTGATTGCTATTGTATTTGTAAATTTTATTTGAATGAAATAAAACAAATGACAGTAGCTAGAACTAACATGCATTAATGATATTTTCATTACTCACTCGCATGAATTTTGAAGTTTGACAATTGAATTCCGTGTAAACTTGTTATGCGTTAGAAGTGTAGTCTACACGACGCAAGGGGCGCTACTCTTACTGACAGTACTTTGTTATAAACAACGTGCACATTTTCATTGTTATATGCGGCAATTTGTTGAATTACTTGACATACGTAGACATGTAAAGGTATGTTGAACATATTCTCTATAAAATTCATGTTTCTTTTTCTTTCGCTGTGCCATTTTAATTAGATTTTCGCCATTAAAAGTGTTGATCTGCTTGAACTTGCAGACGATAAGCCTAATTCTTGTCCGTTAAATATGACTTGGTATAAAACCACGAAATAATGTTATACAGCCGGAATAGATATTTGTGATCAAATAACAATCTATGAAATACATTATCGCCTGTAAAATAAATTATACAGGTGAATTAATTTCAACTAAACACGGTAGAATAATTATATAGTTATAATTATCTCTTATAGGTTAACGAAATCCTTCATGGCGCAGTGGTTGTAACGGTGGCGTAGCGAGTGAGAGGATCAGAGTTCAAAACCTCGATCGAGGTACATTTTTTTTTCTTTTTTTTATTCCTCATTGTTGTCATACTAGATTTAATATTTTAAGGCTCCTATTCAAAAAATATTTTCATAATTTCTACAAACGAAATGGTGTTGGTAAACTAGTAACCAAAGAAATACTAGATCTACAATCAATTATTTTTAACTTATCTTTTTTAATTGATAATGGAGAAATTTTTAATATAGTTCTTTTTCATTAAACTAGATGTATCAATTGACACTGAATTTATTTAATTAAATCCTATAATGTTTATATTCTATTCTAGGATGGCTCCAACTCCATGCGTTTTGTGCGGGAAAAGACTAAAGATACATCAAAGGAGGCCTGTGAATCCACATCTAATAAGATATCTTAGAAAAACCTTCATGCTTGAAACTACAAAATCTGACTACATATGTGGAAAATGTAGCCGACCGGCATATCCTTCTCAGCATAACCAAAGACCCATCATATCAGCATGTCCTGTTCCTGTTACAGCAGAAAAGAATGATATTCAACAATTGCCAAGTCCACCATCGGTTTCTTTGAGCTTAAAACAATTTCAAAAAGTCATTCATACTGTTTCATTTGTAAGAAAGTAGGATCTAAATTAATTGTTGTTCCATCAAAACTTAGAACAGAAACACTTGTGAAGCATAATATCCTCATAACAGCTGACAGTAGGTGTTGCCCTGCTCACCTGAATATTAGTCGTGAGGGGGTTTTCAAGCAAATGCTTTAGATAACGTTAAAACATTAGAGTCTGTTTTATTAAACCGGACTACAATTGTGAATGTTATAAATAATGTCAGACAGTGTATACTCAATTCATCGTCTAAAAGAATGTCATTTTTCAAATGAAGATTTGTGCAATCTTACAGGTTTGAACAAAGACCAGTTCTTAGATTTAAGCTCTATTACTGAAGAGCATGTTAGAAATACGCCAGTTAGAAGCCACATTACTACACTGGGTATATTTATGTTTAAACTTAAGTCTGGATTATCAAACAAAATTCTTTCAACACTTTTTGATGTATCTAAATCAAGCATAAGAAGAGCAGTACATACAATCAGAAAAGTGCTTGTTTCTGAACTTGTTCCTAAATATCTTGGCTTCCAGCACATATCAAGAGAAGAAATTATAAAAAGCCATACTCGTTCCCTATCACAGTCACTACTTGCAGAAAATGCCAGCCAAGCTATAATTGTTTTAGATGGAACATACATATATATTAGAAAAAGTACAAACTTCAAATTCCAAAGACGTTCTTATAGTGTACATAAAGGGCGGCCACTTGTTAAACCTATGGTAATAGTCAGCACCACTGGATACTTTATTTCCGTATTAGGACCATATCTTGTAGATTCTAAAAATAGTGATTCAGGAATTTTAAACCATGCAGTAAGGAATAACATAGAGGAAATCAAAAATTGGGCTCAGCCAAATGATATATTTGTTGTAGACCGTGGATTTCGTGACTCCCTGCAAGTGCTGGAGGAGATGGGAATAAAAGCACAAATGCCAAAGTTCATGCCGAAGGGTGCCAAACAATTAACAACCATGGACGCTAACCACAGTCGGTTAGTAACAAAGGTATATATGATTTATCGTTTACCACATTATTTTCTTAAATGAACTTAAAGGGACTCCACTGAGTTTTTTTGACATGATTGGACTGAAAATATTTTTTTCCAGATAAATGTACCATTTGATATAGGTGTAGACCCCGAATCTTTGTGCAACCGTTCAGATCATTCGCTCACTTGATTTTTCCATAATAATTATTCAAATTGTAAAAAAATGACCCAAAATGAAAAGCGTTTAAACGCTTTCACTCAAATTAGACTAAGAAAAGCATAAAACTACAATTTTCGATTTATTTTAAAGTATATTTCTTAACTATCTTTGCATATATTTCTGTTTAAAGCGCCCCAGTTAATTTATGTAAGAAATTCTAATGTTATGTTTTAGGCTTTTAAACCTCAGTGGAGTCCCTTTAACTGTCAAAGTCTGATCATTAAATTTTGCTTATATTTTCTTTAATTATTTTATCTTAGATTATTTATCGGAACTATTCATACTTGAACAAAATAACAAGTGTGACTAGACAGACATGTAAAAAAAAGGAATACCCTTTTTTTCTTTTTTAGATTTGTTTTAACTGTTTTTTTGCCATTAGAAAAAGTAAAAAAGTCGAGCGTTGCCCCCCGCTCTGCGGTGGCTCTTTTTATGATATCCAACTTTCTTTAGAATAAATACACCAATTCAATTGATTTGCAGTTTTTTATCACATATGTGTTTTTAATAATTGATATATATTTTTTTGTTTTTCTAGGTCAGATGGGAAGTTGAAGCATCAAATGCTCGAATAAAGAGATGGAAGTATCTTGACCATGTATTGCCTACCAATCAAGTTCCGTACATTGGTGATTATGTCCGCATTATTTGTGCCACATGTAACAAATACCTTTCACCTCTAAATGCAACCAAAGATTTGATGGATGACACACTTGTAGCAGAGAGAATGAGAGATAAAATCCAGAATGTTAACCACTTACAATCGTATGTTCAAGAAAATGAACTGTATAAGCGAAATATTTCAAAATGGCAAGCAGTGCAAGAAATTGACAATTTCCCCTCCATAGATGATTTTACTCTTAGTCTTTTGACTCTTGGTACCTACCAAATGAAACTTTGCCAGTCATATGCACAAGAGTACCTTGATGGAGATTGTGATATTTTGGTGTATAAAGAATCAAAAGACTTGTTGAGGGTAAGGCTTCAAAGTCGTCATGTATCGTCCAAGTCTTATTTTGTTTGGATTCAGTATGATTCAGACCATGTCAAGGCTTGGTACTGCCAGTGCAAGGCTGGTGCACGGACAGTTGGAACATGTTCACATGTGGCTGCGGTGATTTGGTATCTAGGCACATCTAGGCAGCAGTCTGACAGGTACGGAGTACAAGACTGGACTCAATACCTTGATGATGCTGCCGAGATGCCGCAGCCAATAGATTCATCTGACTCGGAAGACAGTATTGTAGAGGAATAATAAGTAAAGGGAATCATATCAGTAATATTGTTTCATTTAATTAAGTCTGCAAGTGAAAGGTTATGAAGTTCTTTGTTGATAAAAAGGCACCATGTTTGTTTCTCATTTCTGTTTTATTTGGCGTCATTTGATCACAATACGACATTCCTTCCTAAAGATCGTCTACGTTTCTATGACGTTTGTATAGTATATAGTATGATATCATTAGGTCACATGTCCACACGTGTCATATTTCATTTGACAAACGCCTGCAAGTTTATAGTTTACATTTACTATTAATTTGACGTCATTTTGTCACACTTTTAAGATATTGCTTAACTGTTAAGCTTCTTCTTTTATATTCCCTTTTTCCTTCAATAGATGTAGTAGGACACACGCGTTAACTTTTGTATGACATGTTCCGCTTTTTGTATTTTTATGTTTTGTTATGAGATATTATAATATTGTATTGTTATGATACAATAAATGACTTATTGTTATCAATTTTGTTACATATCTGTTATGTTAAGGCTTATTGATAGATCTAGTAGATCTAGGGCAAAAAGAAGAATACAGAAAAAAATAATAAAGAAAGAAAGGTAAACTTCATGAATGCTTTACTTCTTTATTTCAACAACATGATACAGACTAGAGCTTACTGTAAAATTATACAAGTTTTGTTATCTGCCGGCCGTCAAGCACTGGATAATGCAAGAATAAAAACTGCTATAATAACATAATAAAGATCTAAAACTTTAAACTACATATATTAATGATCATAATACATGATATTTCAATTTCTTATAGTTTCAAACATATATCTATATAAAAAATAGATATATTCAGTGTACACAATATAGTAACTACCGCTCAAGAAATGATACGCATCACGCCCATAAAGAATCGGCCTGCTTGTAAGTTTTTGTGGGTGGGGGCGGGGGGGGGGGTGGCTGTTGCGGTGACGGAACAGTTTGTCTTTACGTTTCACTAACACAGTCGGTATCGTAATGCGTTTTTCTGCTTTATTACTGATGCAGTAAGACCTTCGGTGCCACTCCCGGTCCGTGCACATCCAAATATTTTTGTTTCTATGCAAAGATTAGAAAAATAAATACTTTCCATTGACAACTCGAATTACTGCTATTATAAAAACCCTTTGTTTTACTTAAATTACAAAACATTAGCGGCTAAATAATATTCAAATCTCTGTATTCTTAAAGTTCTTCATTTGGAAATAACGCAGTGGTACATATAAATATGGGATATCCATATAACATAATGGTGTACCCATATAACATATGTAACATCCATATAAAATTGAGCAACAGAAAAAATACTTGTTACGTGAATATATATAATCCGAGAGCCTGTTTGCAACAAATGATTCTACTAATGTGACCATTGGAAACCGTGCCAACTGATCACGATCCGCACTGTCTGCTATTCAGTCAGTACTACAACTAGGGCTGATACAATACAATGCAGGTCTTTGCTTTAAATGTTATATAATTCAAACTAACGGATTCAAATTAACGTCATCACGAATCGGAAGTTGTTCCGCAAATCTTTGCGAATTACAAGTATAAGAAAATAATAAAGATTCTTTTAAAAGCTTCACACAAAAGAAAATGGTCTCTCATTTTGAGATTATTTACTTTATTTTTTTTTTGTTCATCTTTAAAACTGAATACGTCCATTGAGAACAAGTTAGCATGGTAGAGGTTTATAACATATTGAATTAAAACTTAATTTAAACTTCTTTATTTTAGCTTTATTGTGAATCGATATGTTGTAATTCATCTCTTCTTAGACAATGCCTGTAACTAACCGAAAATGATGTTATAACAGGAAGGTACATTTAGTTGTGATCTGACTTAGATTCGAACCTACGAACCCTTTGGTTGAAAGAAAGACACTTTTGTCGCTAGAATAATGCTCTCGAAATACAGAAAGTTGCGTTGACTTTGTTTAATATCATCTGACAAATTAGATAGGCAATTGTGATTTTTAGAAAAAAATACACACAAGCAGCAAAGTTATCTTATTTAACGACTTTTTTATTGTTAGACTGTGGTGGAAATATTAGGTTAGAATATCGAATTACGTTCTATAAAGTGAATTTATTTGAGCTCTTTTTCTACATAAACATTAATAAGATATTCAACTGAATTTTTTTCTTGGTATATTCAAGTTAACATGGATAGAAAAGTCATATGAGCAGAGTAAAAAAAACAACACCAATATGTTCTTCGCCCACTCAGATGTTAGATGATTTAAATGTTCAAGAGTTAGAAAGTACATATGAGCCGCCTCACGACAAAACCAACATAGTGCGTTTGCGACCAGCATGGATCCAGACCAGCCTGCGCATCCGCGCAGTCTGATCAGGATCCATGCTGTTCGCTTACCAACATTATTACAAGTAGAGAAACTGATAGCGAACGGCATGGATCCAGATCAGACTGTGCGGACGCGCAGGCTGGTCTGGACCCATGCTCGTCGCAAACGCACTATGTTGGTTTTGTCAAGACGCGGCTCATATATATTAATAAAATGTCTGTTTGTGACTAACAGTGCAAGATTTATATCATCCCGAGGAAAATACTGTAACTCCTCGGGTAACATTATTTTACGGGGTGATATTTTTGCTGTTACTCACAATCCTATGTGTCATTTATTTTATTACGTCGAACAATTACTTAATTGGGACATTGTTTCTATAGGTTTTTTATTTTTTAGATTTTCATTGTGAAAAGTACCTATATAACAGTACAAAATTTTTAGTCACGTGGTACCCTTGAAATTATTCCAATTGGCCTCCTATTGGCCTATTGGATATCAACATTACAAAAAATAGTTAGGAGTAAAAGTATCAAATATAGAATGAGTGTAGGTCACATACAGTATTTATATGACGAGTTGCATAACATTGCATTTAATTGCGTAATACTATTCTAACATGGTCAATAAATTTAGGGATTATTTTATTCTATATTTCCCTTTAGAACCCAATCTTTAAATGTTTAAGATAAGAAATAGTAGACAAGACTCCGGGTCTTATAGCATTACTGTGTCCTGTAAGACAGACGGAAAGACGTGACTGTTCGGACACTGTAATGCTATGGAGCACTTTGTCATGTGAACTATGCCACGCCAGCTATTCTTGCATAAAATCTGCGCACGCAAGAATATATTTAAGGAGTAGAAAACATGCAATAACGAGGCGTGAGCCATTTTTGCATGCCTGTTCTTTAATTATGCTTGACACAAGGCACAATGTATAAAAAGCTGATTTAAATAACGGTTATGTCATCATTAAAACATAACTGTAAAATGCTATTGCATTTGCACGTAAAAAGCATGACAAACAGGTTCCTTTATAAGAAAAGCAAATTACGAAAAATCAGACGTATATTTCTATGCACAAATAACGCTTATGCACCTTTTAAATACATCTTCGGCTCGCACTTTTGCTGATGTTAATGTACGTACAAAGTATATTTATTCCTCTTTTATGATACAAAATGTATTCTGAACTGATTATAAAAAATAAAAATTTTATCATCTCCTCTACAATATGAAACGGCATCTTATTAATAATTTAATATGCCTTTAATCCCAAAGAATTGCTTTTAATTTCTAAAAAACCATATAGTTTTGATGTCCCATTATAGTTTCTAAAAAGAAACTAATTGGACAATAACCTGAACAAGCTTTTGCTTCTGTTTTCATAGCAATTGATTTATTATTTTGTATGTAAGTCAAAGTACCACTTTGTTTACATTTTGTTACTTTTATGACAAATAAGTTTACATTCAGCACTCCAGTCTTCAGATGATAAGCATGTAAAATGCTCTAAAACCGTTATTCAAACATTATAAAACTCATGTCTGCCATTTCTGCAGAAATAAAAACTTTTTATATTTTTTTCTGAGACTTAATGTGCCTTTAATCATTATTTTAAGAAACAGTTCCGCCAGATCTTATATCGTTGTGAATGGTAGGATTAATATCTGCATATAAACGGTAATTTCCAGTTGTTTGACCTCTGGTTGGGTTGAAGCCAATAATAGCAAGGATCGGAACAAATGGCACCACAGCTTGTGGTACAACATTTCTTTAATCCTAAGCAGTCTGAGTCGACATCACACTCACGTTGGCACGAGCCAGTCACGTGACTCAGTCGCCGTGCACACGTGCCGGGCTTTCTGGTAGCATCTACAAAACAATAACAAACATGAGTACTCAGTATAAAAAATGAGTAAGGCTTAAATTATTTTCGAGTACCGTCCGATTAGCTTGCAGAGCGTCGGACTTTGAATCGGGCAATCTTGGTCGGATTCCCGGACGGTGCAGGTCCCTTTCGTTCTGACTAATCAATGAAATCATTTCTACAATCAATCGCACTGTACCTTTGTTCTTGCATGTTAATTGTATCAGATCCTTGTGTGATGGCTACTAGTACTGGTGAATGCCTTCATAGCCTGCCAAAAACGATGCGATGGCTGATCTATGCTCTGGTAAGTTCAGTATGGCCTACTGCCTTATTCCAGAGTGAAAAAACCTATCATCTTTACAACTTAAATTGGAAGAACTCGTTACCAAACCAATGTACTTGTGTATGGTTGCTGATTTGGTACACTTTACGCATTGCGTTGTCGATAGCGACAACACAACCTATATCGCTATCGCCTTTTCGTCTTGTCGCGCTGTCGCACCGTCGTCTTGACGTCCTGTCGCTAGCAAAGCACACGCGTAGTCGTTCGGCGCGTCATCAGAATGTCGCCATTTCGCTTCGCTTATATTATATGCAAATAGCCAATCCTTTGATTTAATCGAGCGACAATGTGATATCGAGACAACATGCCGCACGACAACGCACTGTTCTGGTGTGCTTCGTAAGCGCCATTCGCGCTTTGTCGACGCACACAAGTGTACCAAATCAGCCACCAAAAAGGCATAGATAGCGAAAATACTTAACTGTAATAGTTTCGTTCATTGTCGCTTTTGAGTTAATCATACAACTAGCTGAAAATTGTTAGCATGCTGGCGACCAATGTGGCCATACCACGTGACTTTTCGGGTACGGTACACGCACCGATTCAGGTATGATTTTGTTATTAATAACTTTGCTGTTACGTAACCGATTTTGATCAGATAAGGCGCAGAGTACCAGTAATTATATCAGCTACCCACTGTAAATCAAAGTTTTGAACACCTGAATGGTTTCTGAAAACATTCGTGTACAGTTGGGGTCCAGCTGCAGGTAGCAATACACACTCATTGTCACAAAAAGCGATTTCAAGTAAGTCGTCCGTTCTTTTTTACTGTTTCTTAGAAAAATGAATGCATAATCTTATAGATTTAAAATGTCCAATGTATCCTGTATCCAGGATCCAATGCAGTGATGTTTTAGAATATTTTCTTAAAGTTATATTGAAATGACACGGAACACACTATTATTTTTAAAAGTACTATACACACAAAATTTTGGTATGTGAGAAGTTAGCAGTGAACAGTGAGCTAAGCAAAAAGGCATTTCAATTTATATAGGGAAGGTAATGATCTGCTGTAATGCCCAGCTGTTTTGGGCATCTAGCAGGGCATTCCTAAATATAGTGTAAAAATGCTCTGCTACAATACTCAGCTGTCTTGGCAATCTAGCAGAGCATTCCTAGCTTTAGTAAAAAAATGCTCTGCTGGAACGCTCAGCTGGCTAGGCAATCAAGCAGGGCATTACTAAATATAGTGTAAAAATGCTCTGCTGGAATGCTAAGCTGGCTAGGCAATCTAGCAGGACATTACTAAATATAGTGTACAAATGCTATTCTGGAATGCTAAGCTGGCTAGGTAATCTAGCAGGGCATTTAAAAATGCTCTGCTGGAATGCTAAGCTGGCTAGGTAATCTAGCAGGGCATTCCTAAATATAGTGAAAAAATGCTCTGCTGGAATGCTAAGCTGGCTAGGCAATCTAGCAGAGCATTACTAAATACAGTGTTAAAATGCTCTGCTGGAATGCTTAGCTGGGTAGGCAATCTAGCAGGACATAACTAAATACAGTGTAAAAATGCTCTGCTGGAATGCTAAGCTGGGTAGGCAATCTAGCAGGACATTACTAAATATATTGAACAAATGCTTTTCTGGAATGCTAAGCTGGGAAGGCAATCTAGCAGGACATTACTAAATATAGTGTACAAATGCTATTCTGGAATGCTAAGCTGACTAGGCAATCTAGCAGGGCATTACTAAATATAGTGTAAAATGCTCTGCTAGAATGCTAAGCTTGCTAAGCAATCTAGCAGAGCATTACTTAATATAGTGTAAAAATGCTCTGCTGGAATGCTAAGCTGGGTAGGCAATCTAGCAGGACATTACTAAATACAGTGTAAAAATGCTCTGCTGGAATGCTAAGCTGGCGGCTAGGCAATCTAGCAGGACATTACTAAATACAATATAAAAATGCTCTGCTGGAATGCTAAGCTGGCTAGGCAATCTAGCAGAGCATTACCAAATATATTGAACAAATGCTTTTCTGGAATGCTAAGCTGGCTAGACAATCTAGCAGGACATTACTAAATATAGTGTACAAATGCTATTCTGGAATGCTAAGCTGGCTAGGCAATCTAGCAGGGCATTACTAAATATAGTGTAAAAATGCTCTGCTGGAATGCTAAGCTGGCTAGGCAATCTAGCAGAGCATTACTAAATATAGTGTAAAAATGCTCTGCTGGAATGCTAAGCTGGGTAGGCAATCTAGCAGGACATTACTAAATACAGTGTAAAAATGCTCTGCTGGAATGCTAAGCTGGCTAGGCAATTTAGTATAGCATTACTTAATATATTGAACAAATACTTTTCTGGAATGCTAAGCTGGTTAGGCAATCTAGGAGGGCATGACTAAATATAGTGTAAAAATGCTCTGCTTGAATGCTAAGCTGGCTAGGCAATCTAGCAGGGCACTTCTAAATATAGTGTAAAAATGCTCTGCTGGCATGCTAAGCTGGCTATGCAATCTAGCAGGGCATTCCTAAATATAGTGTAAAAATGCTCTGGTGGAATGCTAAGCTGCTAGGCAATCTAGCAGAGCATTACGAAATATAGTGTAAAAATGCTCTGGTGGAATGCTAAGCTGGCTAGGCAATCTAGCAGGGCATTACTAAATAAAGTGTTTAAATGCTCTGCAGGAATGCTCAGCTGGCTAGGCACTATAGCAGAGCATTCCTTAATATAGTGAAAAAATGCTCTGGTGGGAATGCTCAGCTGGTTAGGCAATCTAGCAGGGCATTACTAAATATGGTGTAAAAATGCTCTGGTGGAATGCTAATCTGGCTAGGCAATCTAGCAAGGCATGCCGAAATATAGTTAAAAAATGCTCTGGTGGAATGCTCAGTTGGCAGACTGATTTTGAGTTCCAGGATTTATTGTTGCCAAAGTTTTATTGACATTTTCGACTTCTAGGCAATTCTGAGGCACTCGCATACTTTCAGGAATTGTCGGTGTAAATAGAAATAATGATATTTTTGACTTCTAAGGAACTTTTAGAGACTATTTTATTGTCCTGCGACTTTTTGAAGGACACTCGTAGACTTTCAGGAATTTTGGTGCCAATGCTGATAATGACAATTAAGACTTCTAGGGACCCTCAAGATTCCATTTTGGTCGTCTGCGATTGATTCTTGGACACTCGCAGACTTTCAGGAATGGTTGGTGCCAATGGAAATATTCATATTTTGGTTGGTGCCAATGGAAATATTTATATTTTTGACTTCTAGGGACCTTTTAGAGTCCACTTCATTGGCCTGCAGCGTATTGTTGGACACTCGCAGACTTTCAGGAAAGTTTGGTGCCAATAGAGATGATGTCCATTTTTATGGTCTGCGATTGAATCTGGGACATCCGCAGACTTTCAGAAATCTCTGGTGCAAATGGAAATTATGACATTTTTGACTTCTAGCGACCCCCCAGAGTTCATTTCGCTGGTCTGCGACTGATTTTGGGACACTTGCAGATTTTCAGGAATTTTGATGCCAATGGAGATAATGACATTTCTGACTTTAAGGGAACCGCCAGAGTACATTTCTTGGGTCTGCGACTGATGCCTTGAGACTCGCAGACTTTCAGGATGTTTAGTGCCATTGCAGATCATGACTTTTTACTTTTAAGGACCCCTTAGTCATAAGCAGAGCATTTTTACCCTTAAATGTCATTATCTGCATTAGCACCAAAAATTCCTGAAAGTCTGCAAGTGCCCTATAATCAGTCGCAGACCAACGAAAAAGACTCTGGATGATTAAAAATGACATATATTGTTATTATCTCTATTGGCACCAACAATTCCTGAAAGTCTGTGACTGTCCAAGATTAAGTCGCAGACCAAAAAAATGGACCCTTGATGGTCCCTAGAAGTAAAAAATGTCATTATCTGCCTTGACATCAAAAATTCCTGAAAGTCTGTGAGTGTCTCAGGATCAGTCGCAGACCTAAAAAAAAATGGATTCAGAAAGGTCCCAATAAGGCAGAAATATCATTTTTTTTGCTTTCACACCAAAATTCCTGAAAGTCTGCAAGTGACTCAGAATCAGTCGCAGACCAACGAAATATATTCAGGAGGGTCCTTTCGAAGTAAAACTGTCATTATCTCCATTGGCACCGACAATTTCTGAAAGTCTGCGAGTGTTCCAGAAACATTCGCAGACCAACGAAATGGACTCAGGATGGTCCTATAAATTCACAAATGTCATTATGTGCATTAACACCAAAAAATCCTGAAAGTCTGCGATCGTCCAAGAATCAGTCGGAGACCAAAAAAATACAAATGTAGACACTTTAGGGTCCCGTAGAAGTAAAAAATGTCATTATCTGCATTGGCACTAAATATTTCAGAAAGTCTACGAGTGCCAAATAATCAGTTGCAGACCAACGAAATTTATACTTTATTTAAGAATGCCCTGCTAGTTTGTCTAGACAGCTCAGCATTCCGGCAGAACATTTTACACTAATTTTCAGATGCTTTGCTGGATTGCCTAGCCAGCTGAGCATTTTAACACTATATTTAGGAATGCCCTGCTAGATTACTTAGCTAGCTGAGCATACCAGCAGAGCATTTTTCGCACTATATTTTGGAACGCTCTGCTAGATTGCTTAGCCAGCTGAGCTTGCCAGCAGAGCATTTTTACACTATATTTAGGAATGCTCAGGATTGCTTAGCCAGCTGAGCATTTTTAACTTTATTTAGGAATGCCCTTCTAGATTGCCTAGCCAGCTGAGCAATTTAGCGCAGCATTTTTACACTATATTTTGGAATGTCCCGCTAGATTGCTTAGCCAGCTGAGCATATCAGCTAAGCATTTTTACACTATATTTACCAACCCTATAACAAGTAGAGAGACTGATAGCGAACAGCATGGATCCTGATCAGACTGCGCGGATGCGCAGGCTGGTATGGATCCATGCTGGTTGCACACCCATTATGTTGGTTTTGTCGTGATGCGGCTCAAATGTCGTTTGAAAGTCAAACGACACAATTATTCCAACGTATGGAAATATAGAATATTTTTGCAAAGAAAAAAAATAATGTTATAAAAGATAGAATGTAACCACAGAAGAAAGCACATGTTACAATCACATCACAATCATGAAAAATAGATTCAAAACCGGCTTCACCTTCTTAGCAAAATTCATCCTTAATAACATTGATATACAAGATAATCAAAATGATTTCATTATGAAGGACGTTAAACATTGATATCTAAAGTGTATGTTAAAATTGTATTTTTTTTTAGTTAGATTTCAAATACATGTATCTACTTTTGTTTTCTCAAATGTTTACTGATGACGTCTTCCACATTAACTTAACTGTAATATGAACATGTTACAACAAAACTATTAATTGCAAAACATTTTTAATTGGATTGTGCGCGATATTCTATTAAAACGTTCTTTTGTTTTTAAGTAATCATGTGGACATCAAACTGTATGTATAATGATATCTTGTAAAACGGGCCATAAGACTCGCGTAGGGTTAATAAAATAAGTAAATTTGAAAAATAAATAAACACTCCCATAATAATTTAAAACAAAATTTCATATATTTTTCAGACTTATTTCAAATAGACTAAAATTTTGTGTGTACCGTACCTTTTAACATAGAGTGTGTTCAGTACCATTTCAATATGAAAATATGCTACAACATCACTTCATTCACGTGATACATTAAACAAAGTAAATCTGTAAGATTTAACATATTTTTCAAAAAGAACGGACGACTTGCTAGAAAACGCTTGTTGTGTACCGTTACCTCGTCCCGGCTATGAAAACAAAACTGTACTCGAATGTTTTCAAAAATCATTCAGGGTTTTTTCAAACGTTGATTTACTCTGGGTAGCTGATATAATTCCTGGTACATTGCGTCTTATCTGACCAAAATTGGTTGAGTAAGAGCAAAGTTATTGATGAAAAACCTACCTGAATCGGTGAAAAACCTGAGTGTACATTACCCGAAAAGTCACGTGGTATGGCCACATTGACACCAATGCAGACCAAGATCAGTGGCGTCATATCCTGTTCTGCACCGTTCGCGGTTCCATTCATTAAGATAACAAGCATGATATGGATTGATATAATACTTACTATTAATGGTTGTTCTACAGGTTCGACCACAATCATTCTCACAACACTTCTGATGTTGAGGACAGTCACTGTCTATTCTGCAGGAATTAATGCACGGGCCGGTTGGAGTGGAAGTAGGGCACCGCCCAGGTCTCTCAGTATTTGCAAGGCCCCACGCTGGAAGACCATTGGCTGCTTAATAAACAAATTTATATATATAAGAAACAGCAAACGAATAATTAACAAATATGAAATAAAATAGAAGAAATAAAAGCTTTTTCAACAAATAGATGATCATTTTCTATGTTCCGACATAATTGGCCTGTCTAAACAAATATGTATAGTTTTTTTATGTTCTAAAAAGAGTTGTTTTTTTAAATCTTTCTGGGTAACTACATTCATTTTTCCCTGACCACTATGAGTATAGAACCAACAACCATCTAACGAAAGGTCGGTGACTCTACCAAGAGTTGTTTTATTTGTAACAAATTAATAATGAGCCATATCAATGAACTTTGGAACCAAACGTATTTTGAGGTCTAATCCCAAAACAAATGTTGACCTCAAAGTGAGTTACACAGGTACATTTGAAATTATCAGACACACAAATGAATTTTGGTGATATTTTGGAGTAACGTTTTGCAGTTAATTCCAATGGGCGAAATGTATTAATCAAGTCGAATAACAAAAAAGTGTTGTGTTATTTTCTTTTTTTTTTCTTTTATTTTAAATAATTATGTTGGTTAAACCTAAGTATTGCATTTTGCAATTGATTGTTTTTATGTTAAGTTTTGTGTCTCAAAGAATCGAGGCCTAAAAGTAAGATATACATTGTACATGAATATGGTTGATATACATTGAGTGTAATACATTAGGTAACATAGTATTTGACTATTGCATCTGAATCACCAGTATGGGCCGATAAGTGTAGCGGTTGCGTATCACACACATTTTGCAAATTGCAATGTTCCTAATACCATAGGATTTGAAAACGACCCATTAAAATCTGGATTCTTCCTATGTCTAGTTATATGAAAGGTGTGTAACATTTCTTTATAATTTATTATAGTTTTCTCTCTGTTGAATGTTGTAGAAAAGACTTTCATTGAAAAGAATACCGTTGAGGCCATCTTTCAACCATTGCAATTAAAAATGAAACATTGAAGATGGATTCCAAGATTGATGCCAAATAATATAAATTCAATATACTGATCAAGATTATAAGTGCACATTTATATCAAATTCACGTATGTCTTGTGTTTTTCAACAATATTTATATTGAATTTCTCAGTCTTGCAATTTACAAGACAGAGTCCAAAATGGCCAAAGAATTTACAATACGTCATAACGAAACATATTAATGTATATTTAAGAATACTTTAAAGTTAACAATATTAGAACATGTAGTTACTTTCATAAAGTAACATGACTGATACCTGACAAACGTATAAAAGATTTCAAAACGGCAGGCTGTTACAGAATGGCAACCAGAAATACATATACTTTACAAGATTGCAATCAGAAAAACATTTACTCAACGGAACTTACTCATCCAGTGATCATGGTCATTCTGTATAGCTGTCCATTGATTTGCAAAATATATTTCTTCTAAAATTCTAAAGATATTTGACATTGTATACGTTTTCATAAGCGATGTCATGTGGTTCAAATATTTAAAAACAATGTAAATTGTGAAATGGACTTGAAATAAATTTACAGCAGTAGCCCTAAATTATGATGAATGCCATTTACAAGTAATTCAAACAGAAATGAATTGTTTGAAAAGATGCAATGAGATGATGTAAACTACAATACATCTATAATATTCCAATCAATTAATTAATAGCACCAAAACTTATCTCTAAATGGCTGTCGGAACAGAATGCTCTTCGAAACATGTGCTATTATAAGGGATATATTTACAATTAAAATAGTTTGTTACATCGTCACGATTTCGTGATATAATAAGATAAATAATAAAATTGATTAATTTGTATCACGATTAATTATTAACCGTCAAATACATTTTATTCAATATTTGCTACATCAGATTTTAAATGGTTAAGGCTTAGAAACATTATTTTTGAGTTATAAATATCAACCGTCATCCTAAACTCCATGTTAAGTATTTCAAGGTTTTCAGTTTAAAGAACTTAAGCATTGTAAGCATTTGTCATGCGCATTAGGGATCCAACCGCAAAATGAGGTAAACCTTACAGCACTAGATACGGTCAAAAACACCTTGGGGTCAAAGCTGAGAAATGAACCCCAAAGTGCGTTGATGCTACATGTCAACTCCATTTTACGTTAAATTGTTCTGAAGATGTCAACTGAGTACTGACTTATTGCCGATCCGCATCCTTGAAATATTAAAGGTGAAGTTTAAGATGACGGTCGATACATATATGTATATTTTTTTTTGTGCGGCCAAAATAATCTTATTAAGTGCCATCATTAATTCTGATGTAGAAATTATCAAAAACAAAATAAAATTAAATGTATTGAACAAATTTTATTGCTTATTATATGTAATATATATTTATGTTATATTTTTTTTTTCATGAATGTTACCACTTTAGATATCATATAAATTGTGACAAAATAACCAATCATTGAAATTGTAAATGGATTTCTCAAAATAAGAAATGCTTTAAAGAGACATTCAGTTCAGTTTTGTTTCCATATTGTTTGTTTGGGTTCAACAGAACAATGAAACATATCTGGTCATACCGCGCCGAATTGTTGGTGCTATAATGAGCCCCAAATGAAATATGATGGGGATGTAACAAATTGCAGTAAATATCATCCCATGGCACCTTATTTTCAAGCATTTCAACTTCTATTAAAAAGACACTGTAACAAATAAATAAGAAGTAACATTCATTAAAGGACTTCCCCTTTTAATTCATTTCAAGTCATTTCCATTTTCGATTTTTTTCTTAATTTTTAGACCACATGAAATAGCTCATGAAAATGTATACAATGTCGTCATTAAAATGTTAGAAGGAAATAGTTTGTAGAACAATTTATATCTAATAGAATTACCAAGATTGTTAATCTTTAAGTAAATGTACCGCGTTAAAAGTGCCCTTTTGAAATGTTACTAATCAGAGAGCACACTATTGTTATAAAAAACAACAACAACAACGGTTTCATGTTAAATGACACGCGTAAAAAAGATCATTTCAGAAATCGTGCAGTAAATATGAATACACTCTTATTCCTAAGATTAACACCTATTGTTTTTCAGTCACGATCATAAACAAACGTGCCTATATTTTCTTTTTCAGTTATACTACCAACTTAATTTATATAATATTCTATTCCGACTTTTAATGTTTCTTTACAAAGATTTGAAAAGTATGTTATTAGGTAGGTTAATAAATTATTTAACAATAGCCGGAGAAAAGAATCACTACCGAATGTCCACTGGATGTAGAACTAATATCGCCTTGTTTCAACAGTTTCCATTGATTTTGATATTGATATATAAATGTTTACAGATTGACATCCATTTCATTCGTTCACTGATTAAATTATAATTTTTAACAGTTTGAACAACTTGTTAAGAAGTTGTATGTCGCAACAAATTACAAGATGAACTAACTTTATTATTACTTTATTGTGAATAAATAGAGTTTCATGTGATCTAATCATTATTACGTCTTTCTTATTATCTTTCTTAATTTTGTTTGAAACATATTTAAAGAACTGAATGAGTGAGTTCGTCCGATTTTTTCTACAAAATCAATTATATACTACAATCACTGCGGTAAACCGTACCCCGGATATTGCTCGATATAATGAGGACTTTCATCCAATTTCGCGACTTTGAACGTGGAAAGAAGGTAAGTTCAGTGACGATATTTAGTCATTTTGAATTGGTTTGATATAAATTTTATAGCAAAACAGATACTTCGATAATTTCTCTAGTTACTGAAACCCCAAAAATGTTTAGTAATAGCTTTGAAATGTAATAAGGAGGTATAATTTGTCTCTTTGCTCACGTGATAAATGAGCTCGGATCAGTTAAATTTGATGTTTTTCTGCATATACTTCCTTAAAAGAAAAACTTGAATCGAGTGAAATGTGTTAATGATGATAATGCATATGTTTTAAATGTTCAATCAACAATAGAACCTCAGATGACAGTGCATTTTGAGAATAAATACACCTGTCAGTGTACCGAGTATTGCGTTGGAGTTGCCCGCTGGTGTCACGAGTATTGCCTTTAGTGTAACGAATATTGGTTATTAATATAGAGTAAATACAAGTAGTAAACACAGAGTATTTACCACATTTAATCTTAAATATATCTTATTGTGTATACTATATGTGCAGAATAGGCAGAGCTCGGAGGTACTTTACTGGAAACATCTGCAAGTAATCCAGATTTTCTGCTGATGAAAAATCTCAGTCAAACGTACCCAGCAATTTTCTGTGTTTACAAAGTTCTCGTTGCTATCGAAGGAACAACCTTTCCAGACTTTGTTAATAATTATTGCATATCTTACTTTAAATAGTAAGAAATGCATCCAAAGTGCATGTATGCTGCCTCAAGATTTTCAATAATAGACGGTATTGAGGAAGTGTGTCACGGTTCAAAACTGTTCACTAATTCCCGGGACCCTTGGAATACCGTACCGCGGCTCGAGATCTACCGACTGAGCTATCCCGCCGCTTTCTTATCATCATCCCGAAATAATGAACAGTTCTGAACCATGACATGTGCCAATATCTAATATCAACCGACTTCCTACTATGCCAAAAATCCATATAAAGGTAAATTTCGGTCATTTTGCACATGCACTCTAGCAACGGCAGACCGTCTGCACGTGAAAATTGTTACGTCATTAGCAACGAGTTACCGTATGTACACCTCAAAAACCGAATAATGGATTTTAATAAGATTATGATTAAGGACAGCAGATGCAATAAAAAGGTTATGTTCCTTATAACCTTTCACTTCATAAATGCGTGTTGTGAAGGCTTCACACCACACCCCTTTTGAGGCCTCAAATAGTGTAAAACCTCAATAAAGAGGTACATCAAGGGGGTGCCACAGGGGGGATGTGCCCCTTCTGTTAGGGAATTTGAAGTGGGGCAGTAGCCCCTCTAATCGCCGAGATTTTGGACTTGTGGGGCGGGGGTATAATGGCCTCAGATCGATTTAAAAGTGCCGTGTATTCAACGCCGAAAAGCCTTAACTTAAACTTTATCTCAATCAATTGAGAAGTTGCTGCACTTGAAATCAGTTTTTATGGGAAAAGAAAACAACGCAAAATAGAGATTTTTTTGCAATTTTAGACGTCCTCTCGTTGCCATGGTAACTGGAATTTGAAATTGAGCATGCTATTCCACAGGCTATGGTTCAGCCAACATTTGTGCCCAGCTTGATCAGTATTGAAGCATTTTTTTTATAGTTTCATAGCAGTTTGAACTTGTAACAGGAGGCTTAATTCAATGAAAACAGCCATTTTTCGCAATATCCTCATGCATTAAAATGTTAAGACGATACCGGCATACTTGGACGGCATAAGCCCGCGGGACAATATTTTACTAAGTGTGTCGATATGTTTCTTAAGGCAAACTTGCCCTGTAAAAACCTATAATTGATGTCATCTTAATTTGTTTTGTATTCTTCTTCTTTTCAGACACACATTTTCTTGAGACATGTATTTAAAGATTTTGATGGTTCTACCTGCTCCCGACCCTGCTTGCGACTCTGCACACATTTTATTTCACCCATAGTGTGACTTTCAATCAAATTGGAAATTAAATCTCTGTATTTGCCCGTAGAAAAAGAACAGTAATAACACTGAAAATGCATTGTTGAATCTGAAATATTTGAATAAATATCATATCAACTGTACATTATCAGCAAAATAAGATGGAATCGATAAACAGACGTAAAATAGACAAAAATAATAGACAAAAATATCGATTTTCCATACAAATGTGCTCATTCTGTTTTGCAATACACTGTACACTAAAATTGGGCTATTTTGCAATACTCTGTACACTTAAAATCAATACTCGGTACACTTTCTTGTATCTTTTTTGGCCTGTATCTTTTTGTACTTTCACAATTTTTGCCTGAATTTTGGACAAAGCATACTTGGATTGTGAATAAAAAAAATTGCTCGATTCAATTTTTTTTAAAATTGGTTATAAAATAACTACAGCATCGCGGTCAGTTTTTTCTAGTGAGCAGCGGATCGTTTAGGGGTAGTTTAATCAATTTCACAAATACCTGTAATACTTTTATGTCTTTTAGAGCTACAAAAATAACTCTAGATATATAAAACCCGTTTAGATAAATGAAATAGCCATTAGTTTGGAAAAAATCGTTGCTGAACTTACCTTCGTTCCCCGTTCAAAGTCGCGAAATGGGATGAAAGTCCTCATAATATTGAGCAATATCCGGGGTACGGTATATCGCAGTGACAATTTAAGAGAAAGAAATCTTTTTCAATAATAAAGGTAAAATTTAACTTTATAACTTTAAAAAATGAAGGACTATATCTACTCATTCTTTATCAGACAAAATATTATTGAAACAGTGAACGACTGAAACGGATGTCAATGTAGATATTAATACATTTTGTATATCAAAATCACTGAACAAACGGAAAAAGTCACTTAAAAGAATGGCAAGCAATATATAAATAGGCAAAGAAAAAAATCAGACATGCAGGCAGACAGACAGACAAACATGCTTACACGACACTGACTCAATAAGTGAATGATGACTATAGTGACGACGACGATGTTGATGTCTATACGAACTTTTAGAATGTCGTCCTCCAATCATCAACGATGCATGACCCTGTGGTTGCGGCGTAGTCACTACAAATAAACCATAAGCCTGTATATCTTGTGCAACAAAACGTATAAAACGCCATGAAACAAATACAAAAGCATTATCAGCCGTTTCAAAAAAAAGGCCCAATGTGATATATATGCCCCACATCTCTTCTTTAAATTTTGTTTATCAACATTGATGAGTCCTTAACTGTTGCATATTCAATGATTCTACAATAAGGAGCGTGTTATTTGAGGTCTTCCGTGTATAAAATCAGCCATTGCATAAAATGTCGCTTGTTGTAAGCCCAAACATTGTCTGTAGAAAACTTGAAAATTGTTAAACTTGAGAATGAAGCAAACACAAATTTTAGCACGTTTTCAAAGTTTAGAATTAATAGAAAAAAAAATAAAAAAAATATTCCTGCTTCTTAATTGCTCATCTTTAATTTAATCTTTTCTTGTGTAATACAACAAATAATTCATGTGTATTGAAACCTTTGCGGTGTCTTATAGACACATTTCGTCTATAAAATTAAAGAAAAATAAAACCACACACAGGGAAGTAACAAAACAAAAATGACACTACAAATAAGTATAAATTTCATCAGCTAATCTTATGATATTCAGGGCTCATAAATTGATTTGGCACAACAATTAAAAGCATACAAATAATATAAAGCAACGGAAATGAAATAAAATCTAGAAGCATTTGTTAAGATATAGTTAAACAGAAATGCACGCAACTTGGATTTATTCCCATATAATAATTTACATATTTAAACCTATGGTAGTATAATCTAAAAATATGTACGTTCAGATTTTGCATGTATAACAATGAATGCGAAAATTCCAAGTCTTGAATTTATTTCAAATAAATCTAATAAAATTAAGAGAAAACCAAAAGATCTAACCTTTAAAAAAAGAAAGAAAAAAAGGAAGCAACAGCAATACATGAACAGCGTACATAGATGGAAAGCACAATTTCGCTGTAAACTGATGTATGAAATACTACCAAAAAACTATATATAGAACAGAAAAGAACGCGCATCCGATGTCCACGTGACTTACTTGCACAGGTTGGAAATGAAGGACAAGGTGGGTAATCACACGTGCTTAATCTTAAGGCACATCGGTATCCTGGACCGCAGTTCAAATCCTGTAGGAAAAAATGGTCAAACTTTAAAAGTCAGTTATTAAGAAATTCGGTATTCATTAAAAGTCATTATGGATCCCAAGCACATTACTACAGGCGTAAAATATATTAATGAAGTCATGTTCAAAGAGCCACGTCCTCAGATGAACACTTCTGTTGTTAAAACAAGAAAATATAAGTGGGTCGGACTGTATTACAGTCTGGATGTTCATCACAGAGATGTAATGCCACCGAAAAAAGGTATTCATTTTCTACAAGAGGTAGGTACAGTTAATTTTCTTAAAATCGTACTTACGGACGGTGTTCGAAACAATTTCAATGGTAGTTTAAAACGATGTAATTTTCATTTAATAGTTGAAATGGGATGTTTATAATTATTTTTTAAAGAAGCTACGGACTGTTTTCATTTTCTTTAAGTGGCATTTACTAATGGCGTTTTTTTTACTTAAAGTAGTATTTACGGACGGTGTTTATTTCCTCAAAGTGATAGTTCCGACTGTGTTCATTTCCTAGTAATGTAAGTTACGACGGTGTTCATTTCCTAGTAATGTAAGTTACATAGATAGATAGATAGATAGATTTATTTCGGCAAAGGAAGCATATACATAGTTGACAATATAACATAGGATAAAATAATGAGCATTATTAAATACTATATCACATACGAGTAAAACTATGACATGCTCACCAAAACCAAGGATAACACAAAAAAGGGCAAAAAAGCTCTTATTTCCATTGTGGTCCTTTGTATTGGCGGCATGACATAGAGAGGCAAACCTTAATATAATCATGTTTAAAAATACTAATAAATCATAAAAATGTATATCACAGTCAAATCTTGAGTTAATGATACTCCTGTAACACGACGGTGTTCATTTCCTAGTAATGTAAGTTACCACGGTGTTCATTTCCTAGTTATGTCAGTTACGACTGTGTTCATTTCCTAGTAATGTAAGTTACGACTGTGTTCATTTCCTACTTATGTAAGTTACAACAGTGTTCATTTCCTAGTTATGTAAATTACGACTGTGCTCATTTCCTAGTAATGTTAGTAACGACGGTGTTCATTACCTAGTAATGTAAGTTACGACAGTGTTCATTTCCTAGTAATGTAAGTTGCGACGGTGTTCAGTTCCTAGTAATGTTATTTTCGACGGTGTTCATTTCCTAGTAATGTTAGTTACGACTGTGTTCATTTCCTAGAAATGTAAGTTACGACGGTGTTCATTTCTTTGTAATGTAAGTTACGACGGTGTTCATTTCCTAGTAATGTTATTTACGACGGTGTTCATTTCCTAGTAATGTTAGCTACGACGGTCTTCATTTGTTATAAGTGGTACTTACTGACTATCTACTTTTAGAACAAAAGTAGATATGTGATGTGTTTGTTTCCTAAAAGTGATTACAGGTAGTATTCATTTTCATTTTGGAAGTAGTTACAGACAATGCATGCTATATGCTATACGTGGCAAATCGTTTCAGACAGTTGTTCCCATCAACTTATACTGTATAAACAGTGCAACCAGTGCCTGATAAAAAGCTTTAATGCATTCTTTGGCTGATTAAGGAAGCTACAGGAAGTGTGTGACTCTAATTATACTTACACAGATTTGGGTTTTCACAAAGGCAAGACATCCGAGTAAAATCTGAAAATAAACAGAAGAAATATGTTTGGCTTGTTTATAAATATTGTTGGGTTTAATGTTCAAAATGATGAAACACTTGCGCGATATTCCCTTCATCTATATGAAGAAAATATTGTGATTTTTTTTCATAAATTATAATGCAAGTTATTAAAAGATATACATTTTGACAGTTTAAATGGTCAAGTGTAAACAGTTGTATGGTTAGACAAACAGCTAGACAAAAATGATAAAACTGCATACAGTGGTAAAAGGATTCTTTGGTAAGGCTTAAAAACACATTCTTGAATTTGCAACAGCCGTATAAATAGATAATATAGACCTTTTCACAATACGATATGTCCATAGAAACGGAAGTAGCATTCTGCGAAGGTCAAAAAGCATCAACAAAATATTTGATTTTATCAGTATTCGGTAACTTCCATTTGATTGAATCTAAATGATTAATCACCATACGTTTAGAATAGTTTATTTTGGTAAATAACTAACAATGGTGAAATTAAGTAATTAACTTAAAAACGCATAAATTCAGGGTTTTTCAGATTTGAAAGACCCTGAATGTCGCATTCGATTCTGACAAAAAAACTTCGTATACAAGCATAAGAATTAACCATGTCTTGCATTTAAGTGTTCTGAAATGCGTCGCTTGGATATGTCTTCAGTTAAGGTATGCTTGTGTCATCATTAAAGCACTGAACTTCTAAGGTAGTTGTCGTGAAAGCGAATTACATGGTTAATATTCTCTTTCTTTTCAAGTTATGTCACACGAAACACAGTAATTTTGGCATTAATAAAGCACATAAAACGTGGTTTGTTATGTATGATAGATGGTTTGATATGTATAATAGATATAAGAAAATATGCCGGACTTACTAATATAAAAGTGCATGTACAAAAGCCCTCTGGTTAAGGTATTAAAGTTTCATTAGACGACATTTTCATCAGTGACTTGAAATATATTACCCGTGTATTGCGTAATATTACACACTTGGTAGTTTACACTTCCTTTGATTACATTGATTGACGTGTCACACAAACATGGTCATGTGCACATGACCGGTTGTTTTTTTTTCAACTAGCATACAATATCATTCGACCGGGACATTTTAGTACCATAACAAATCTTACTACCCAATTTTGATAATCGTTATTAAAAAAAACTTACATATACATATCATGTCAATGTTTGGAATTAATTTTGTGAAGTGACAAATAGTGTGGGATGCATTTTCCTAGATTTTGAAAATGTGTTACGATAAACCGGATAAAAATGTGTTTTATTTGCTACCCATCTATGAAATGTTGTTAACTTCTCAAGATTTTGTAAAACAAATTAAATGTAAATATGTGACGGTTTGACATCACAGTCAAATCAGCCAGGCAAACTGAATACTAAAAACATGTTCTGACCTTATTTTCAGAATGATAATTAACTTAGATTTTATGTTATATAAACTTCTGTAGTTTTTGTATCAATTATTTCTATAGAAAGTAGATCATTTTTCACGATATTAAACATATTTCAAGTTTTTTTACAGCAATTATCTCAAGGACATTCAAGTCCGACGTGTCTCAAATGGGATTTTTAAAATAAATATCATCTTTTCTTTGTCTTTTCATAGCTGCAAAACTCTAAAGGCATATTTTGTGTTTAGTTAAAAGCTTTTTAATATATACATATTACTTTTTATTGTCAACTAACTCAGAATTGTATCGTATGAACGTCTACTACATTTTTATACAGGGCGATGATTTTTTGCCCTACTGAGACTGCGCATGCGTGAGAATATACTACATCCGGTTGATTTAATATAGCAACGAACCACGTCGTAAAAAGGTCTTTAATCATCTTTAATATAGCCAATTGAAACCGTTGTTACAAACGTGCACTTTTATAAAATTAATATAATATAGCATAGCAGAATGCTCATGTTCGTAAGTGATTTTGATTTATGTTTACAGAAAATGTGGTAGATTCATGCCTGTTTTGTTGTAATGTTTGCATGCTTTTTGTTTGATTCATGATATTTTGTCACATTGTATTACGCACAATATCACTTTATTGTTCAAATGTATTTATTTGCAAGTTTTTACGTGCTATGACCACGTGCCTTGTATAATATAGTTACAAGGTCACGATTATGACAGCTAAATTTTACACTTTTATGCGCTGCAGACGAGAAATGTTGTTTTTCGCGAATGGAACTGTTATCTTTACGTAACAGAGTCATGTAACCTTTACATCTACATTGATATATATATTCTATTAGAAGGAGATTGGTCAAACTGCAAGTGATAAATATCTTAAAATAAATTGATAAGACACGTCCATCATCCAGCTTAAATAAAAACCTTTCGCAGTTTCAAGGCAAGTCGACAATATTTGAAGCATATTTAAATACTCTCTAATGTGGAGGTAAATAATAAGGAGAATTCAACCTTAAGCAAGCATCATGAACTGTGACATTAAAATATAATAAGGTGTTACTTTTTGTTTTTACACGCACAATCCTACCTTTAGCCATTTGTCTGAGTTGTTACAATGTCATTTAAAAGCCCATTATGCCTCAGGGATGATTTATTTAAAAGTATTAAAATCATCTTAATTTTTTGGTGTAACTTTATATATTCCAAAAAGTCATTGGCCAACTTCCTGAATAATCTTTTGAATTTATAACTTTTTAGTACTAAGTACAGTTATATTGATTTAGTATTTTGTATGGCAGCCAAAATTCTACTTTTTCTACATTACTGTTCTTACTGTAAATAATTTTATATTCAGCGTTACTTTCTCAAGGTGATAAGCACCTAACATGCTCTAAAACTATTATCTAGACTTTATTAGACGCATGTGTGTCCTTTTCAAAAAACGTTGTTGGTTTTTGGCGTTGTTGGCTTTTTAGTATTGATGTATTTGGTTTCAGGAGCAAATTGTGCCTTAAATAATACCATGATTCTACTTCAGCACATTTTTTTAGATGTATATACAATTGTATTAATCTTTTCAGAATGTCATATTGTGTCTGTGTTAAGAATGATCTTCTATTTGTGGTTGTGTTCTTTTTGTGATGAGTTTTTTATTTGATAAGAATGTTTTGTAATATGAGATTATAGACGATTTACTACCGATATTCTAGAATATTCGAGACACAGCAGATGATGATATCTTCATTTATGTAATTTCATGACAAAAAACAATCGCAATAAATACTTGATATTTCTTTTATTAGAGAATCTAGATTGATTCTTTAGAGTTCATTTTGCAATTCATATCATTCTTATTCAAATTTGTAATTATTTTCTATTCTATAATTGCTTTTTTAAAAGTATCTAATTATCAAGGTTTTTTCACTAATATTTTCTATATTTTGTTGTACGTGTCGATAAGACAAGCCAGTGATATCATTCTCACCCGGTTTTGTCATTATTTGTATACCATTATTGTATTTTCAATCATTTAGTTATCTAAATATTTTACTTTTATTTTGAATACTTTGTTGTACGTGCCAATAAAACATGTCAATTATTGGTATCCGAAATGCGATGTAAAATCTGCCATTCTTTGTGTCTATAACATGGCCTTCAGCTTGTAGTTTTCAGTGTTTTTATATTTTTTTATCCTTCGGGGGGATTCCGGCATTTTTAAGCATCGGAAATTGTGTAGTGCTAAGGGCACGAAGGATGTTGCGCTTTTTCATTATCCCTCATGTACAGACTCAGTCAAACGGAGTCTGCAATTTTCATGTAATTTTGGTGTGATTCTTGCTTCCGAGGGATCACCCTCCTTCCAGACAGATATACGCATATATATTTTTTATCTAATAAATCCAAAGACTTCACCCCCATAACTTTCAAAATCATCGTTCCTACCAGGAATCCATGCTAAAAACTAGACTGACCCTTATTAACGTTGAAGGATAGAAATACCGAGAGCAAAAAACAAAAACAACAAAAGCATAACATATCGTACGTTTTGAGAGACTCAGTGTTTGAATGCAAATCTTGCGATAAAGTTCGAAACGCTTTGTTAATGAGGAAACTGATGACATTGAGAACAAAAAGATATTACATTTGGACATCAAAAAAAAAGAAAAAAAAAGAAAAATGTTTTGAGAAATACATTCATCTTTAGGGGCCTTACGGACCTTCTACAAAATACAGTCGACCGTGACCGGCTTTGAATAAATACAAATTAAAATTGCATGAAAATGCAAACATACTGTATACAATTAATAGCAACCTATATAGAATACATATACGAGTATGGGGGAAGAGATCTTAATAAATCTACCAAGTATGTTGAAAACTAAGAAACGTTCATGTTAATTTCTACTTAAAGCTACATTAAATATATATGTAAAAATAATTTTGTCGTTGGCCTAAAAACCAAGGATTCTAAAGTGTTATTAACCTTTTTAACAGTCTTGTTGTAAATCTCAACAAATATTGTTCATAAATAAGGATTTTAAAAACCTCACGGTAACACTAAAGTTCGTATACGAAATTTAACATGCTAATGAGGATTATAATCAGCTTGTTTATGCGCTACGTCACAGTGTTATAGCTGCTACCCGGAACACAACAAATATGATTCTTGTGCAAACACATTTTAACCGTTTAACTTCACGGTCGCTAGGCCTGAGGTTCAGTAGTAATCATCTCATAAAAGAAAGATTAAATTTGTATGAAAATATCGTTACAATGCAGAGATATACCGTAAAATTAGGACTGCTACTTATAGTCATGTTTGTTGATTTTATATTGATGTACGGATGATCTGAAGGCGGAGTTTCTCATGCAAACAGAAATTATACTTCCGTATTCGCCACAATGAGGTTGTCCATTTTCATGCTTATAATACTCATTTTTGCTTGTCTGGACACAAAATAAAAACATCTGGAGTCGATATAAAACCCAATTTATTAATGAAATGTTGCTATTTCTGTTTTTATGAAATTTATTAAATGTAACTTTAAAAGAAGTATTTTTAAAATCGCAGAT